CTTGACCTGAAGTTGGCCACTAATCACTGGCTGAAGCACACAGAGAGGCTGAGCCATTAAGCGACAGCACATGTTCCCAAACAGAGGCAACCAGAACGGGCTTTCCTCTGGAAAACACAAACCGGAATTCAAATTTAAAAGAATGGTAAAGATCACCAACAACACCAATCAAAATAGGACACTGCATTGGAGTGGAAATCCAGTTTATCCATCAATATAATTTTGTTATAACTGAAATGAGTTGACTTTCATCTGAAATTGATGGACCCTGATTTGGATTTGTTGCTTTAAGCACTTTCAGAAAACGTCTGTGTTGAACTGATGCTACATAAATAAACTAAACTGGGGTGTGAAAAAAGAAATGAGTCAAAAAAACAGAAAGAAGATGAGTTCAGGCAGAAGATGAAAGGAAATTAAGAGAATCACCTGTTGCTGAAAGTGTCAGATCATGTGTCTTGAAACCTTCTCGAACGTGTTCAACAGTCAGCGTTGTGTGAGCCAGCAGGTTATACTTGGGCCCCCTTCGGACAGAAAAGATAATAGCTTTTATTTTAAATGGATTATAAAATGCAAGGGCACCCCCAAGGGGAAGATAGCTAACACCAGCAACCCCCACACCCCACCCCCCACCACCCCACCACCACCACCAACCCCAAACCCCCCCCCCCCCCCCCCCCACCCACCCCAAGAAAAGCCAATGTCAATAAATCATGTTAATGTTCACTCAAACCATAACTTGGTCTTATTTATTCAAGATTTAATTGTAAAACAAAAAATAAATATGATTACAATTAATGAGTAAAGAAAAAGTCAGCTCCTCCTTGAACCGTCACCTTATCGTGGTGGAGGAGTTTGAGTGCCCTAATGTTCCTAGGAGATATGTTGTCTGGGGCACTTTGTGCCCCTGGTAGGGTCTCCCATGACAAATTGGTCTTAGGTGAAGGGTGAGACAAAAAACAGTTCACGGGATCTTTCATGGAAGTAAATTCAATGAGTCGGAGTACCCGGCCCGGAGGGTTACCGGGGTCCAACCCTGGAGCCAGGCCTGGGGTTGGGGCCCTTGAGCGAGCGCCTGGTGGCCGGGCTTTCGCCCATGGGGCCCGGCCGGGCCCATCCCGAACCGGATCCATGGGCTCGTCCAACTGTGGACCCACCAACCGCAGGAGGAACATGAAGGGTCCGGTGCAATGTGGATCGGGCGGCAGACCAAGGCGGGAGCCTTGGCGGGAGCCTTGGCGGTCCGATCCCCAGACAGGAAAACTGGTTTTTGGGACATGGAACGTCACCTCGCTGGCGGGGAAGGAGCAAGAGCTTGTGGCAGAGGTTGAGCGGTACCGGCTAGATATAGTCTGACTCACCTCGACACATAGCATTGGCTCTGGAAGCCAAGTCCTTGAGATGGGTTGGACACTCTCCTTTGCTGGAGTTGCTCCGGGTGAGAGACGGAGGGCTGGGGTTGGCTTTTTGTTAGCCCCAAGACTCTGCCTGTGTGTTGGGGTTTACCCCGGGGGACGAGAGGGTAGCTTCCCTGCGCCTTCGGGTCGGAGAACAGGTCCTGACTGTTGTTTGTGCTTATGGGCCAAATATCAGTTCAGAGTACCCACCCTTTTTGGAGTCCCTGGAACGAGTGCTAGATAGTGCTCCATCGGGGGACTCCGTTGTCCTGCTGGGGGACTTCAATGCTCACGTGGGCAATGACAGCTTGACCTGGAGGGGTGTGATTAGGAGGAACGGCCCACCTGGTCTGAACTCAAGTGGTGCTTCGTTATTGGACTTCTGTGCAAGCCGCAGTTTGGACATAACGAACACCATGTTCGAACATAAGGATGTCCATCGGTACACTTGGTGCCTAGGTCGCAGGTCGATGATAGACTTTGTAGTCGTATCATCTGACCTGCGGCCGTATGTTTTGGACACCCGAGTGAAGAGAGGAGCGGAGCTGTCAACTGAACACCACCTGGTGGTGAGTTGGATCAGATGGCAAGGGAAGATGCCGCGTAGACCTGGCATACCCAAACGCATAGTGAGGGTTTGCTGGGAACGCCTGGCAGAAGAACCTGTCAAGAAGGTCTTCAACTCCCGCCTCCGGCAGAGCTTTGACCGCGTCCCGAGAGCAGTGGGGGACATTGACTCTGAGTGGGCCTTGTTCCACTCTGCGATTGTTGAGGCGGCTGTTGCTAGCTGTGGTCGCAAGGTGGCCAGCGCCAGTCGTGGTAGCAACCCCCGTACCCGCTGGTGGACACCAGAGGTTCGGGGAGCCGTCAGGCTGAAGAAGGAGGCCTACAGGGCGTGGCTGGTCTGTGGGTCTCCGGAGGCAGCAGACAGGTACCGGATAGCCAAGCGGGGTGCAGCAGTGGCAGTTGCCGAGGCAAAATCTCGGGCGTGGGAGGAGTTTGGTGAGGCCATGGAGAAAGATTATTGATTGGCTCCAAAGAGGTTCTGGCAAACTGTCCGGCGCCTCAGGAGAGGAAGGCAGCAATTTGCTCACATTGTTTACAGTGGGGATGGGGAGCTGCTGACGTCAACTGAGGCTATAGTCAGACAGTGGAAGGAATACTTTGAGGAGCTCCTCAATCCCACCTATGCGCATTCCGAGGAGGAACCAGAGCCGGGAGACCTGGGGATGGACTGTCCAATCTTGGGGGCAGAAGTTGCTGAGGTAGTCAAACAACTACACAGCGGTGGAGCCCCGGGGGCGGATGAGGTTCGTCCTGGGTATCTCAAGGCTATGGATGTTGTAGGGCTGTCATGGTTGACACGTCTCTGCAACCTTGCGTGGTCATCGGGGGCAGTTCCTGTGGAGTGGCAGACTGGGGTGGTGGTCCCCATCTTTAAGAAGGGTGATCTGAGGGTGTGTTCCAACTATAGGGGGATCACACTCCTCAGCCTCCCTGGAAAGGTCTACTCCAAGGTACTGCAGAGGAGGGTCCGATCGATAGTTGAATCTCAGATTGAGGAGGAGCAATGTGATTTTCGTCCTGGCCGTGGAACTGTGGACCAGCTCTATACCCTTGCAAGGGTGATGGAGGGGGCATGGGAGTTTGCCCAACCAATCCACATGTGTTTTATGGATTTAGAGGAGGCTTAAGATCGTATCCCCAGGGGCACCCTGTGGGGGACGCTCCAGGAGTATGGGGTGGGTGGTTTTCTGTTAAGGGCCATTCAGTCCCTTTACCAGAGGAGCGTGAGTTTGGTTCCGCATAGCCGGTAGTAAGTCGGACCTGTTCCCGGTGAGGGTTGGACTCAGCCAGGGCTGCCCTTTGTCACCGGTTCTGTTCATTACCTTTATGGACAGAATTTTTAGGCGCAGCCGTGGTGTGGAGAGTGTCAAGTTTGGTGGAAGGAGAATATCGTCTCTGCTTTTTGCGGATGATGTGGTCCTCCTAGCTTCATCCAGCTCTGACCTTCAGCTCTTGCTGGGTAGGTTCGCAGCTGAGTGTGAAGCGGCTTGGATGAGGATCAGCACCTCCAAATCTGAGACCATGGTTCTCGACCGGAATAGGGTGGCTTGCCAACTCCGGGTCGGGGGAGAGGTCCTACCTCATGTGGAGAAGTTTAAGTATCTCGGGGTCTTGTTCACAAGTGAGGGTAGGAGGGATCGGGAGATCGACAGGCGGATTGGTTCAGCGTCTGCAGTGATGCGGACGCTGAGCCGATCTGTCGTGGTGAAGAGGGAGCTGAGCCAGAAAGCCAGGCTCTCGATTTGCCGGCCGATCTACGTCCCAATCCTCACCTATGGTCATGAGCTTTGGGTAATGAGCAAAAGAACGAGATCGCCGATATAAGCGGCCAAAATGAGTTTCCTCCGTAGGGTGGCCGGGCTCAGCCTTAGAGATTGGGTGAGGAGCTCGGACATTCGGGAGGGACTCGGAGTAGAACCGCTGCTCCTCCGGATCGACAGGAGCTAGTTGAGGTGGTTTGGCCATCTGGTCAGGATGCCTCCTGGACACCTCCCCGGGGAGGTGCTTCGGGCATGTCCTGCCAGCAGGAGGCCCCCGGTTCGACCCAGGACATGTTGGAGAGGTTACATCTCCAATCTGGTCCGGGAATACCTTGGGGTCCTGCCGGAGGAGCTGGTGGAGGTGGCCGGGGAGAGGACGGTCTGGAGCTCCCTAGTTGGGATGCTGCCCCCGCGACCCGGACCCAGATAAGCGGAGGAAGACGACGACGGCGAGAAATAATCCGATTTTTCTTTTTTGTGTGTGAACACAGCAACACAGGTGAATACACCTACGTAAGGAAATATATTTTTCAATTAAATTTGGAATAAAATTTAAATAAGTGAAATGTAATTTTTCTGAAATGTTTGTGTATGTAAAATTTAAGTTAAATGTTTTGGATACATATATATATATATATATATATATATATATATATATATATATATATATATATATATATATATATATATATATATAAAAAAGAATAAAGGAGCAATGCAATACATTGCCACAGGCTAAACTTTCCCAGAGTGACTACAAGGACCAATTTGGTGTGCCACCCTAAAAATGTCTTTGGCCACATCTGGCTACCCCTATCAAAATTTTCTGGAGGCGTTCCTGATAAAATGTGTATTTTTCTGTGAGAATCGTCCCACTCACAGTGCCGACTGGTCGTATGATAAAGGCGGTGAAATGTATCCAGGTTTCGCATCTCCTCCAAAAGGTGCTGCAGACTCAAGAGCAGTACGGATCTTTTTTCCAGAGGAGCATCCCAAAGAGCCTCCCAGGAAGCTCATCCTCCTGGCCGCTAGGGCGCCTGTGGACAGATCCTCGGCTGCGCAGCTACTAAACAGCTCAACACGAAGTCTGAACTCTGGGCCCACCTTGTTGCTGTGCACACAGAACATATTTTTTTTAAACAACAATTAAATGTGATCTTGCATCATATTAACTTACAATATGATTGTGTCTTCAAAACAGATGTCAGTTAGTGTCCTGTCGACCATCACCAGATCGGTGTCATGGATCTCTGTGCCACACTGGAGCATGCAGAACACAGCACAGCGATGCAGCTCTGATGGGGACACAGTATAGTTATTATAACAGCCCTGTGCTCTATAGAAAACATTTTCATGGAGTTTTTTTTGCACAAATTACTCTGAAATAAACCAATTTCTAGTTTTACCCTTGAAATTTTCAGTACCTTCCAGAATGAGCCATTTCTATTACTTTAAAAATAAAGCTAATTCTTTTTTTCAACACATTTGCAGTGGTCTCTGGCATGAAAGATTGCCTTGTGAGTCGACCTCTGTGGGAGGTAGAAGAGAGGGGAGCAGATTATGGCAGGATTTAGTCCTATTTCCTGATATTTGTATATCTCACCACTGATTGGCTAACATTAAAGCGACTTTACCACCGACTTTGCTTTGCAAAATTGATGTTTTATCTCCACAAATATCAAAATCCTGAAGGAGTTGTGCTGTGTGGTGGAGTTGCTAATGCTAATGGTTAGCTTGTACTAGCCAAGACACGCTCTGCTCTCTCAAGAGGTTTTTCGGTGGCTGGTCCTGGGCTCTTCAACAGCCTTCTCATACATCTGAGGACCTCTCATAGCTTGGAGTATTTTAAGTCGTTAGCTTCAATATTGGTTGATCTGCTTTGCTACTTTTTTTTACCTTTTAATTAGTTTTATTGTGGTTTTATTACTTGACTTTGTAGTCATTGTTTTACTCAACATATCATTTTATTCACGGTTTTATTATTTCTTTGTTATTTGTCTAATTTTTAACTTCTTAATATGTTTTATCTTTTGTATGTTTTTAACGCGGCTGCAGCACTTTGGGTTGTGTGAGAAACACTAAGCGTGCTCTATCTTAACCATGAGGGGAGGGGTTTCTATGCTCATTTCCCTTATTGTGATGTCACATTAGGGGACCTTTAGGAACGGCTCATTTTAGGCAAATCATTCCTGAAACCAAACAATGACAGAAAATGGATGGACAGATTTTATTTGTATTCGTTTCTCCCCCGTTCTTTTTTACCTCCTTTGTTTTTGAAGTACTCTGAGTCTTTCCACATGAGGGGAATCCGCAGATCTAGAGACGACAAATTAGAAGTCAAAAATATAACATATAGTAGTAGCTACTTTATTAAACATGTAGAATAAAAACTGAGAATTCACCTGAGAGTGAAACTTTTCCGGCACATGGCACCAAACCTTCAGATGGTCTACCAGGAAGCAGATCCACAATTAGTTATCGATGTGGGAGACAGAACAACAGAGTAGCTTTTAGGTAACCTAGGGGTTAGTAGGAGGCATGAAAATGTCTGTACATCTCACAATTTACATTTAATTAAAACTACTTTCTCCTCCACGTGCCCCCTCTCTGATTATCACCTAAACAAAGAGTGTGTCTCTGATCTGACCTGCTGCCAGCTTTTTCTAAAATCTGCGCTTTCCTCATCCTCTGTAGCTGGCTGAGCAGAGCCAGAATGCGTGCGTTGCAGGTCAGCAGGCTCTTGGAGGCCTCCAGGGCCTGATCTCTCTGGGAACAAGCAGCCAGCAGCTTACTGGCCCCCTCCCGCATTCGCACCTCCCGCTCAATCTGCTGCAGCACCATCTCTTCCTGCAGGTTGTTTGAGATACAAAAATCATTTCAGTCAAAGTCTCGGTAATGAGTAGCTGGGGTTTAGCGCATTGTTAGACGTTTTAGACTTCTATTAGACCCAAAGTTCTGCTGACAGGAAGCTTAAAACCTGCTAACATGTTGCATAAGCGTCTAGCAGACGTTACGTCATACTCGACTTTAATCCCTGGATATTGTTCAAATGAAGATTTAAGAGTAAGATGGTTTAATTACAAAGCAGTTCCCAGGTTTACATGGTTGGAAATCACAAAAGACAGTGTGAGCCTTTGTCTCCGTGCAGGTTTTTGCTGCGCTAATGACCTAAACGAACTGAGGAAATGCTGTTTCAATACTGAGGAAACTTTAGAGATTTGTAAACAGGAAAAACTGAAACAGACTCATTCCAGAGGATTCTAGAGGGTTTGTAGAACCTGATAAAGACAAAAACTTAGTGACTTACACCTAAAGCTCACTCAGGCGTGCAGCCAATCTTACTACAAATAATTATTACAGCAAAAAAATGTACATATGATGTTTGACATAAAAGTCAAATATTATTACCCTAGTCAGCATACGTCACACATGTTTTAGTCAAAATGAATGAAATTTTGCTCTTGAATTGGACATTAAAGGGTTAAGATCAGAGGTGTGTGAGCTCTTTCTGACCTTAGTCAGCTGGTGGTTAAATAAACGTTTCTTGGAAAGACAAAAAAAAAAACACAGCATTACATTAATTTTTTCATTAATGAAAGACTGCAGCTTTTTCTACTCCTTTAGTGGGATTAGTACATTCCTCACAAATCTACTGTGTGTGTTTCCTGCCCTTTAGAGGATAATCTTTATACAGCATTATTACCCACTCGGAAACTAGATGATTGATCTCGAGGGGTTTTAACTTCCTAAAATCTAAGTTTATTTATTTATTTGTTTGTTTGTTTGTTTGTTTATTTGTTTGTTTGTTTATTTATTCATTTATTTATTGTTGACTAGTTTTCTTATTTTATGAGTTAGATAAAAAAATTAACAAAAACATGTTGGGCAGTAATTTATTTATCTGTGTTTTGTATAAATCACTGTGAACAGATTCTTTAGGTGAAAATATCAAACACATAAACATATGAATCAAATAAAGCTCAACTTTTTAAGAGTTTATTTGAATAGACAGTCACAGATTATTAAACTCAACTCAAACAATACATTTGTTTTCTCAACATGAACAAGTCTGAACACTGTCATACCAAAAATCCATTCGGTTCGGTTCAATAATTCAGTGTTTTCAGAGTGCAGTGTGCATTAAAGAGTCATGTGTTTTAGCTGAAGCATAGCTTTGGGGATCCGGTCAGTGTTGTATAATTTAGTTGTGTTTGAATGTTTGGATTCAATAGATCTATAATGAATCATTCCTTAGTTCACACAAAAGACTTAAAGAACATTTGAACTTTGTTGATCTGTAAGGAAAATAACTCCCAGCAGTTTAAAGACTGAGTAACGTGGGTTTTTCAGCACTATTGTAGGAATAAAATAAATAATATTCATTATATTATTACTAATCTGCATCAAAACAGTCAACAGCAAAAGCTTCACCGACCGTTCCCCTACCTGAGTCTTCTCAGTCATGGTTCTTCTCAGAGGAGCCTCACAGGTTGGTTCTGAATGAGCAGACTGATCTCACAGCTGAGCATTTAGCCTGGACCTGCACACCGAGCAGCTAGTTACTCAACAGAGATCAAAACAAGCCTAAGCCTTCACACGAGCGGCTGTGGCAAGAGGGATTAAAGCCTCAAACACATGAAGTCTCCCATTAAAGCTGCTCTATCACTGGATTACTCAGTCAGCCTTCATACAGGTTCATTTACACAGGAGCATCCAGTCAAATGTGTAAACGAAACTTAGCAGTCAACAGTTTTAAATCATTTTCTAGTGCATTGTTAAACATGTTAAAATGCATTTACTCACCTGAGGAAAAGCTGCAAAGCAAAGGATCATACTTGCATTTGTTTGCATCAGCAATTTCCTTTTGGCCTAATAATGATCCAAAGTTTTACATTTTAATGGCAATCCATGAAGTAGCAAACAAGCAGATCAGATGACAAAACAATAAAAAACACAAATTATTTTATGCTCCAGCGTTCAACAGCAGAGACTAGATTGATCAAAAAATACACATTTACTGTTATTTCTGAGTGTTTTTGTTGAATTATTTGTGCAAAACCTAAGAAACCATACGCATACGCATGCTCATCTCTGCTGACATCTCCTGGACAAACAACATCACAGCTGTCATCAAGAAGGCTCAGCAGCGGTTACGCTTCCTGGGGGTCCTCGGGAAGCACAAACTGGACTCCAACCTACTGACCTACCACTCATCTATCGAGAGCCTGCTGACCTACTGCATCACAGTATGGTATGGAAGCTGCACCGTGGCAGACGTGACGAGGCTTCAGCGGGTTGTTAAGGCAGCACAGAAAGTCATCCATTGCTCCATACCCTCCCTGATGAATGTGTACACCTCCCGCTGCCTCAGCAGAGCAAAATACATCATCATGGACATCTCCCACTCTGGCTGTGACCTGTTCTCCCTGTTGCCCTCCAGGAGGCGCTACAGGTGCTTCACAACCAGGACAAACAGGCTCAAGAAGTTTCTTTCCCAAGAGCCGTAATCACATGTACTGACACTCTCCGAGCCCAGGTCTTCCTTCTGATCATCAATCAGTGCAATATTCAATATCTATATGCTATTGACATTAACTGCAATATCCAATATGCATATAGCACAAATTTGCACCATTTGTTTATTTATTGTTTGTTGTTGTTCACTGCATTGTTTTGTTGTTGCTATTGTTTGTTGTTGTTCACTATATTTCAATGATGATTAGCATTTTTATTACTTTTATCTTATTTTCATTTTTATTACTATATTACTTTTATCTTTCTTTGTCATTTTTTCATGACAAGTAATGTGATTGAGTAAATAGGGTAGGCATTAAAAGCTAGGCTTTAGCCTACACCTTTTAGGTTACTATAATTGAGATTCTGTTTTATTGTATTCTTTCTTTTTCCTTTCAAATGACCAAAATAAAATACATTTAAATTGAGATTGTTTCTACCGTTTGTGTTTGACTGCACTGAAGGAGCTGCTTTTAAACTCATTGTATTTGCATTTAGTGATGATAAAAGGCATTCTGTTCCATTTTAATTCTAATATTTACATTTTTGATTTTAAATTTAAAAAATTTAAAAGATTTGATCTGTTTCTGGGTTGCAAAAGGATGGTTGTAGAAACTGATTTTATGGACATACTCACACTGAAATGTACTGACCCAGTTTAAAGTAAATAAATTCAAGGTTTATTTAGACAAAAAAAAGAATAAACAAAAACAGTAACAAATAACTGCATTTGTAATAGTTGATGGTTATTTTTGGCGTGTTTAGTTTAGGATTTTTATTTCAGTGGTTTATAATTTAATAGAAAATCTAAATGCAGTAATTATTTTCCTGTTTAAAACAGAAATTAACTTTTTTAAAACATTTAAATGTCCATATTAATGTTTCTGCGTGTGTGATTTGGGGATTTTTTCTTCCTCTGTTGGAGGTAACTGGTTACTACAACGTTCATGAGCTAACCCTGTGGATTCCTTCAAAATAAAACACACCACTTAAAATGACCATGATATTAAATTGATATTAACATAGTTAGATAACGGAAAACCAGAACGTCTTCACCTATACAACTACTTAACTACTAAAACTCAATAAATCTATTTAAATTATCTGTGTCCAATAAAACTAAATCAATGAGCCTAAGCAGGAACGTTCTAGCCTGGCAAGCAGACTAAAGAAATATATTATTATTACAAACTAGTCCTTTTTTTACTATTTGTTCCTTGCCTAAATAAACTTTTTATTGATTAATTATAATCTGTAGTTTGATTTAATTGATGGCCACATACTCTGTAAGGATTTATATGTTTTTAGGTCAACTGGATGGAAACACAGAACTTAATCCCTAGTATCTGGCTTTCTAGAATAAGGATTAGACTGAGAGGGATTTTACTCTTCATATAATTATATTTGGTAACAAAGTTTCACCAGCATACATTTGTAGTTTCTAACTATGTCGGATATAAAATTATTAGTTCAAAGACCAATAAATACCCATGCAACTACATCTGATATTTTCCCACAATGTTTTTGTTCCACTCATAATTAACAATGTGGGTTTTTAAAATAGCGAACCATGATTACAGCATTCATTTTCCGTCTGAAAAATTAAACCCATCAGTTTTTTTTCTCTGCCAGACTATTGTCATTTTATAATTTCTTGCAAGTTAATTAGTAATTACTGAGCCAGTGAAACATTTAGACACCCTTTACTGAGCCAGTGAAACATTTAGACACCCTATCACAAACAAGAAACCTTTGATCCAGACCTTTTCATTTTAAGCGCTACTTAAGTTTTTCAGAAAGACAATAAGTGGAGGTGGAAGAATTTATTTTATTCAGATAAAAACTCTTAACACCATGTGAGGGGACACTTCTGGTTAGGTATTGACATAAATACAAAATAAATAAAGTTCAGTTCTTGTACAAATCTGCCAAAACAAAAGCCTTTCCCCTGAAATGTGGCTCAGCAGGGCTATTCAAGCCTGGTCTTCGAGGGTCACCTACACATTGTGGCTCCTCGCTAAAAGGGCTGAATCCGTGGCCGACTAGGAGGCTTCTGTTGAACTTGACCTGCTGAAGAGGTGAATCAGTCACTGAATCGGGTGTGTTGGAGCAGGTGAATGGGCCAAAACACGCAGAACTAGAACAGCCCTGCTCCAGATGATCTAGTATTATGTTGAACACAACCGGAATGCCTCACACACTCAACACGTCTGTAATATAGTCAAATAACAACAGTTATGTTTAAATTGTTCATTTCACTAAATAAAACTTTAATGAACACAGAACATTACTGAACTACATTTCTTGTCGTGGAGTGAAGGCTTCGTTTCTGAAACAGCTGACCGGACACACCCGATGAAGCATAAAACGCTGAAAACATTGCTACTTTATAATATTTACATTTTCACAGCTGGTTCAGAATATTCTGCTGCTTTGTTTTCAGTCTAAAACGACTTCCTGCTGATTCCTTGAATTTGAGAGAACGTTAGAGAACATTTCAGTGAAGCAGGCCTGCTGTACACGTCCAAAGTGCTTTTAAAGGAAATCTGAAACTCGAACTGACCAAAAAAAAAAAAAAAAAAAACAAAGAAAACGCATTCATCTTTTGGAACTTTTACAAAGATAATGCCAGAACATATTTTAAAAAGGCCGGCTGCAGCTTTTATCCTTCTTGGACTTCTGTGAAAATGTCACTTAAGAAGAACTGAGACACGTTGGTGGGCTCCACAGCGCTGTCGTCTTCCTGGGAGAATGAAACCTACAACAGAAATAACTAATCAGCTTTGTTCAGACTCGCGGGGCGTGTAGGAAAACATCAGAATTAAAATTCTTACTTCGGCTGCACGACGGCGAACGCCACCAGCTGGGTTTGAGCAGGTGGGAGGTGCTGAGTGGACTTCTGGTGACGGTTGGGAACTATTTGTGGAAAGGCTTCTCGTCTCGGAGACTCTGGACTTTGATGAAGCCTGTTTTCCTGCCGATTTCTGCCGAGGTTTGCTCTTAGAGGAACTAACTGTCTCAGGAGACAGTGAAGAGGAATCTTTGCTTTTGGATCTGTCGGGTACAGAAACAGAAGTTCTGGAGAGTTTCTAACATTCAGAACTTTGTTTTCCTCGTTATTTTTCCTACCTGCTCCGACGACTTTTCCCAACACTCGCTACACTTTGTGAGGCGGAGCTGCTGTCAGGTTCCTTCTCACCGCTCACAGTTTTCTTATCAGTGTCCACATGACCTCCAGCTTCACCGTGAGGCTCCGTGACGCTCTTATCAGAGGACGACTCGGCCTCAGTGGCAGCTGCAGACTGAACTTGCCGTTTGCCTTATTGGGGAATAAAAAGATGTTAAAAAATATGTCCAACTGTCAGAGAATTCCTTACTACAGTGCAAAACTGTTCTACTATTATCAAGGTATTTTCACTGTAGTGTAGGAAAGCCTCAATGTCAGAGGTCAACAGACATGGAAGTGTCCAGCCAGCTTCATCTGCCCAGACTGCGGAGCACTTTTCACACCATAACAGATATCCTGTTTACACGCCTCTAGCGTCGCCATCTGGAGACGCCGTCATCACAATCTCTCCCCTGCTTCAGTGCCTGCAGAAGAACAAGGTCCCTCACGAGATGCGACTCGTGTGACTTTAATAAAGGATCATTTTTGGTCTCGTAAATGATTTCCTAACTTTACAAGTTATTCACAATCACGTCCAGTTTAATCCACAATGAATGTTTGATCTAAAGTGATTTAATAATGTCTTGACTGCTTTACAGTAATGAAATGTGTTTATTCTGGAGATGCCTTTTTCAGATCTCAAATACACCAAACGAGTCTACGTGATGATTTAATAATGATTATCAGCTATGTCACATTTTAATATCAGTATTAAGAAGTGACTGTTTAACCTATTTACGTCACATATTAACTGAAATAAGCTTTTCTAAGTGTCTGAGGAAGGGGAGGTCTGAGGACTCTTTGAAAATCCCTATTAAACTTTCTTAAATCTGGTTGGTCCAAAACTTATAAACACCCTTAAAACCCTTAAAAGAGGAAACACTTTTTATTGGCAGTTCCTGCTAAAAGCTTCCAGCTTACCCTAAATTACCATTCTATGGCAAATCAAGCCAGACTTTTTTTTGTGGAATAATTTTAGCGGCATAAAGAACCATCCTTTTTCAGAATCAACCAATTTTTATTTGTTTAATCTGCAAAACAACTCATCAGCTGTGAAACGGTCTGCCTGCAGACCCGAAACGCCATCTCTGGCCAGCTGACGAAAATTCAGAGGAACATGGCCTGTGACACCCAGAAGTCAAACTACTGTATAATCCATACACACTGGTCCCGTAACTCTGCACTGACGTTGGATGGGTTAAGAATAATTTGATAACTTATTCAATCTAAATAAAATTAAATCAAATTTATTTTATTAACCCAGACATCACATGTTTCTGAGTCCCTTAATTAGGCTCTTAATAACATATATGGTCATAATTTAATCAGTTTCTTCATTGTCTCAGTTGATATTACCGTGAATCACCATTTATAATCATTTGTCCTGCATCATCATAGTATTTTTATTAGGGATGTAAGAAAATATCGATATGGCAATATATCGTGATTTTTTCCAGCAATATTATATCGATATTCGAAAGCCGTGTTTCGGAAATATCGATACGGCAATTTAACGTGATTTGTTTCCTGCGATTATTACATCGATATTCAAAAGCCGTGTATCTAATTCTTGAAATAATTTACAAGCAAACTTTTGTGCATTTTCTTTTCGTTTTGTGCAATTCAATCGCCACCCGCTAGTTGGCAGCAGTGTGCAACGGGTTTTGTTTCCACCATTGAAATGTAAATCCCTCCATCATGGTTCAGATACCTCATGTTAAACATGTTACGTATCAGTTTGGACTGTTTATTGAACATTCTTACAATAAATTCAGTAAAAAAAATTGCTTGTAACGTCTGACTGAATGTATCGCAATATACCGTGATATATCGTATCGTCTCCCCTGTATCGTGATATGTATCGTATCGCCAGAATTTCAAAAATACACATCCCTGATGTTTATGTTTATTCATTTAGCAGACGCTTTTATCCAAAGCAACTTACAATTTATAACCTATAGGGCATGTTGTGATCTGTGGGGGAAACCGGAGTACCCGGAGGAAACCCACGCATGCATGGGGAGAACACGCAACTCCACGCAGAAAGGCCGCAGCCGAGTTTTGAACCTGCAACCTTCGTGCTGCGAGGCAACAGCGCTAACCACTGCGCCACCATGCAGCCCGTAATAGTAATAGAAAAATAGCAAGAAATAGATATTTATTAACTATATTTTTGCCTCTGTGTCAAATTATTATAGTGTCGATACCCATATCACCTAGTTTCATCAATCGAATATTAAAGGTTCAATAATACTGATAATCCATATTTTTATGGAATATTACATTTTATTGAATACTTTATTATAAATACTTAGTATAAAAACTTTATATTTTATTGAAAATTATAAGTAACCACTTACAAAATGTTAATTCACAGTAATTATGATGATGCTTTATTAGATGATTACAATAAATTTAAGCAGGCAGTGTATAAGTTACAGGCTCTTATTGTGAAGGCAGTGTTTCTCTGCTGTAATTAGCGCCATAGGGAAAATAAAGTCAGATTCTATAAAAAGCCGGATGTGATTATTTCATCAGGGGGGTGAACACGCTTTTGGACATATAAACATCTTATCCAGCATGATGGAGCAGTTTCAAAAGGCCAAAGGGATCATAAAGTCATGTGACTAAATAACAGCAATGCACCAAAATGAAAATTTGGGTCAGCATCGATAAACAATTTAATACTACCAACCGCTCATTTTTACCGATACCAAATTTATTTTTGAGACTAAATAAAAGTGACCACACCACCTACATCGCTTCCAGGTTTCAGTCATGGCACGTTCACATCTGGGTCCGCAAAGTCTGGTCTTGGATAGGAAGGCCCGCCCCGATGTGGTCAGGTTTGAGTTTACACAGCCTTCTCATGAACGTGGATTACTGAGAGCATGTGGGCGGGGCAAAAGACTAATGAAGAAGTGCACAGCATCCCCCTTAAGTTAGTAAACAAAGGCGACTATGAGCAGCGATGCTTTGGGAGACTCCGACATGAAGCACACAGCTTCCTGCTCTCTCAATGAGAAGCGCGGCTGCCGTGGGTTCCTCTCACAGCTGTCTGTCGCCACGTTCCCCCCGGCTAGGGCCGCAGGTCCGAGCTGCAGAGAAGATGTTTACTCCACTGCATCCAGACTGATAATGAATCACGCAGGCAGGAAGCTGCCACTAGGTGATTCTACCCGCCAATCAGAGGCTCCCTCTACACGTGGGTGTGAACTTCAGCCAGCCAATCAGTCCACAGTGGGCGTACTGGGTCTGTTCAGTGCCAAGCTGACCACCAGAGAGAAGGTCCAACAAAAATGATTGGCTGAGCATGTAAAACGCACAGATTACCCAGATGTGAACACAATTACCCTACCGAGGCTAGGTCAGGCCGACCCAGATGTGAATGCACCATGAAACACCCCCCACATTCCATCACTAACCATTAGAAGCCACTGGTCTGGGGTTAGTACTTAGTAGTGATTTTAATTTTATTTTAATGACAATTTGGTTTAAAGGTCATTATGCTGATCAACAGAACTGACACCCCAGAAACAGCAAAACCAGTAAACCAGTTCATCCCAAACCTGCTGCATACCTTTCCTGCCAGATCCTTTTGGTGTTTTCTTAGAGGACAGAGCTTTGGTCTCTTTAGCGTCTGTTGGAGGAAACTTTGGTGGCTGGATGGTAGTTTTGTCTGTCCCAATAACAGCAAAAGAAAAAATAAAAGAACATACTCTTATTAAGATGCTTTTAGATTAAAAAAAAAAAAAAAAAAAATCTGATAATGATTGAAACATTTTACCTTTCTGACCAGTGACGAACCCAGCTGGTTCTGACCCAGTGTCGTTACTGGCCACTTGACTGTGCACAGAAACATTAAAACCACCTCCAACTGCTTCTGAACTTTCTGCAGAAACGCTGCAAGGAGTGAAGAAAGTTATCAAATCAGATGCACACTTAAACAGATTCCATGTTTCCGCGGATGTCAAACTGATTATTGCAAAATTACTTCTGTTCGTGCTTTGATGGATCAGCAACAGGGAGAGGAGGGGGTGCGGCCTCCTCCTCCGCTGATGATACTGGGATCTCCGTCAGAGAGAGGATGAAAAAAGGCTCATCTGGATCTGAAGGCACTTCTGCTGGCAGGACTGAAAAAGAGAGATCCACAATTTAGTCTAAACTCCTAAAAAAATGCAGAATCACACTTTAAGAGACATGAGTGGAAGAAAATCCATGACTGACTTACTCCCTGATAAGAGCGGATAACTTTGAACCCCTTCGGCACTTGATGTTGATTCGCTCTGGGATTAAAGGAATCAAAGAGAGAAATTTGAGGAGAAGCAGCAGCATTTTTCATCGGTCCTACATCCCATCTCTGATCAAAGTCGCAACTTGAAGTGTTTTGTTCGTCCTACACAGCAGTGCTTCCCATTCTAATCTAGTCAGATGTGACACATCCACTGGAAGATTCTATCAACGCTTTCACACGAAATATATTAGAAAAATATGTTTATTTTGTGTCATTTTAAAGCAGGTGCCTTTATTTATTCAACATACTTCTATCAACTATATTTTTCTGTCATATTTCAACAACCTCAGCTCAGAGAAATGGTGTTTAAATCCCACAGCGTGTTAATGGTTAGTCCAACTGAAGCCAAGACAACAATGTGTTTGTGCTAGGGATGAGCCGGATACTCGTTTTAGACGAGTATCCGGTACGGATAAAGCATTTTTGACGAATACGAGCACGAAACGAGTAAACCTGGTAAATATCTGTAATCGTGCTGAAGGAAAATCCTCATTGGGTAACTGACTGTCTTCACGATCTGCGATTGGCCAGTCACATAGAGCACCCGCCCCTCCCTACACACAAAACTCTCTAGCCGGTCGGGAGAGCAGTCCATCCGGCTCATCCACGCACACACACAGACAGTAACGGATCTCGGTGTGATTGCTTCACTGTTGCTCACGTTTCTTCAGTTTTCCCTAGGTTTTCTTCAGCTCGCCTCTTTTTCGGTTGAATATTTAAAGTTACTTTTTTCATAACTTACATGGTGCATTTGACAAGACAGAGCTGACGTGCTGCATTAACTCACTACCTCCGCTCCGGTCGGGATTTTTATTTTTTTTTAACTCCATCTCTCTCCCTCTCACCCTCTCTATCTCTCTCAGACACACACACCTTAATCAACATTGTTTTGTTTAACTTTGTGTGGGGCAAAATGCCAAGAACGTTAAGAAAAAAATCAGTTTAATCAAGTTAAAATAAAAAAAAATATATATATATATATATATATATATATATATATATTTAAAGTTGTGTCTGATTCTAGCATTTCATATTTCCTTGTTCCTACTGCATGAGTTCAGATGTATTAATCCATACACTTAAATATTAATGTTCTGATTTTATTGAAAAACTTGTTCTGTAATAGTTTATTTACTATTGTGATCAAAAATATTTAATCTCAATTATGAGGCTGCTCTGTAAATAGTTTTCAAATAAACAATACACATATCAACTTCTGATCATTCCATATCAATTTCAGACTTAAAATAATATATTTATGTAAACCACACCCACTTCCAGTTAAACCACGCCCACTTCCGGGTTATGCCACGCCCATTCCGAGTACAGATACAGATAGTGGTGTACTCGCTCATCCCTAGTTTGTGCTGTCCTAAAACAGGTCAAGGCTGTTCAGCATCCTATTGAAAATAAATAAAACTTTTATAAAATCAAAACATTCCTTTAAGCAGCCAATGTTAATAATTTACACTTTCATTTTCTTATAAATACATCTGATTTGATTAATCAGACTTTAGTTAACAATTTATATTAAGAACCTAAAATTTCCTGAAGACACGTCTCTGTCCACCGACATGTGATAAATAAAACGCTGCCTCTAGAGGGCGCCATCACCGACCAGCTAGGTTTGATGTTTATGCTATTAAATGTCACAAAATGTGAACGGTTATGTAGTCTCAGAGTTTTGTGACACTTTTAGTCAAAAGTATAACACAGTCAGCACTACATTTAAAATTGTAGTGTAGTGTCATTTTAATTTTTCCAGGTAATTGAAAGAACTTTTAGTTAAAACGACAACCACTGACTTGTGTAGACTGTTCTTACCCGAGTGCTGGAGTGTTGTGTCACGTGATCAGAAGAATGATCATTTGAACTGGGGTCGTTGAGACTAGGCGCTCCAGTGACCTTCTTTACTGGCCTCTGATCATCAGGTCTGAGTTCAGACTCAGAGACGTCAACAACCTGAGAGCAGCTGCCAGAGTCTGCAGAAGTGAAAAACGTGTTAGTTTACAGCAACGATTGACGGAAATCAGCTCAAAGCCATCTGTATTCCAACCTGGTTCTGGCTGAGGGCAGCTCCTGCCTCTCAGGTTGGGTTTGGGTTTAACAAGCCGGCCTCTACGAGTCCGAGGGGCTTCTCTTGAGGTCTTGGACGTATCGGTCAACTCTGACGGCATTTTATCAGAGCTAGGAGAATAAAGAAAAGACATGTCTGTGTATAATAAATCCAAATGTACTTTAATGTTTGAGAACAAGGTTAAATGTCTCACCTTTGTACAGATAAGTCCGTCTCATGAGGTTTGAGACTGGCACTAGAGGCTGTTCTGTTGACTGTGGACTGGACATCTGTTATAGTAGCCTGAGCAGTTATTGTTTGGGTTTTTGACCCAGACACTGAAGAGGACACCTTGCAATCACCAGATGAAGCATAATCAGTTTCTGCTGGATCTTTATTTGACATCTTGTCCTCAGTGGACTCCCCACATTGACGCTCCGGTGCACCAGTTGGAGACGTGTTTGCGTGTTGGTCTTCTGAAGGCTTACAGTCATCTGACTGAAGCTTTCTGGCTGTAACTCTACTAGTCGATGCTAAATTGGGTTTGACTTTGGAAAACCTCAGTCTTCTCTGAGGCTTGTTTTGTTCGGCACCTTCTGAACTCGAGACTTGTCCAGCATTTTGCACCAGCTGATCTTTAGTTGAAGATGGTTTCTCTGTGACTTCATGAGTAGAAGCTAATTTCAGTGACGGTACTGAAACCAGAGAAGTAGCACCACTTGTCTTATCTGGCCTTGATTCTTCAGGAAGGGCAGAAGAGCAAGTTGGTTGCTGTTCCATCTTTAACTTCTTCATTCCTGTAGTGGCCTGTTCAGAACTGGGCTCAGAATTGGATTCAGGCTGGACTTCAGAGAGATTCTGGTCCTTTGAGAAACCCTGATCTGATGTTTCTGCTCCCAAATCCATCTCATCACTAGGTCCAACATGAGTGCTTTGTGAATCTGCGTTGTTGTCAAACGCAGGTGCTGAAGTAGGACTTGACCCAGCCTCGTCTGTAACTCGAGATTTAAACTTTGTGGTCCTCTGGATCTGTGGTAAATTTGGCTTTGGTTTACTTTTGTGTGACCGACTCCTCAGCTGACCAGTAGATTCGACCGTCTCCTTTTCCTCACCGACATGTACTCCTTCAGAGGGTGTTACGGAGGATCCCACAGTCTGTGGTGATTGTCCATATGAAGCTGGACTGGTGCTCACTGGCTGTTTCTCTGGGGAAGGCCCGCATGGCGCTTCAAGTTCTACTTTTGTTTTTTTATGGGATTCAGGATCTGAACAAGAACTTGAGCTTTTGCTTTCTGTGATTGGAGGTTTAGGATTTGCAGATCTGGGTGTTTGTGGTATTTTTGGCTTGGGTTTAATTTTCAGTGATCGACTCCTCCTCAGCTGAAGAGCAGACTGAGCTTCACAATCTTGTTTACAGACGTCCGACTTTTCTACAGCAATCGGTTCTTGAACTGGGACTGAATCTGGGATCGATGTGAATATGATTTTTGATTTTTCACTTCCTGAATTAGCTGCAGCTGCAGCAGCATTATGAAGACTCTCTCTTGTTTCTGTAAAGGAATCAAGCGTGGCACACTTTTCACTTTGATCTTCCTGAATTTTAGAGACTTTCTGGTTTTCTAGGGCACTTTGATCGGACGCCACATCAATTTCCATCTGATCAAGTCCAACAAGTGTCTTCTCATTTTTAGATGGCTCCTCTGTGGATGTAAGAGAACAGCCTGGAGTTTGTACTGAACTTAAACTTGAAGCAAGATCAGTTCTTTCAATCAGTTTTCCAGAAGGGGTTTCTGTTTCTTGAGGATCCACCTGTGCTTTTGTCTCCTGGTCAAATTCAACATTTAAAATGGTACCCAAGTGTTTCTCTGCTGGTTCTTCTGTTGGTTTACTCTTTGCAGCTCTTGATGTCTGTGGTATATTTGGTTTGGGTTTAATCTTTTGTAGCCGACTTCTTCTCAACTGACAAGCAGCTACTTTACCCTCTTCTTTATTAGTTGTCGTCTCTTCTGCAGGAGTGATAGCAGTAACAGGATCCTTGTTATTTTCTTGGGTCAAAACTAAACCTACATTCACTCCCGGTCCGGCTTGTGGTTCTGTGACTCTCGGGTTTGTTTTACTGCTTCTCTCTGTTCGTCCAAATTCACATGTCTGGTTTTCTTCTGTAAACTCAGAGTCTGAACTTCTGCCTCTGAGGTGAACTTCAGAGATGGACCGGTTTTCTGTAGCACTCAGGTCCGATGTTTCGGCCCCTATTGCTGGTTGATTATCCACCTCCATGTGTGTCTTAGTTTCCTCATTGTCAGTTGGAAGTGCATCTTTCTTCAAAGTTTCGCCACCAGTCTGAGATTTATTCCTTGCAGCTCTTGATGTTAAGTTTGGTTTGACTTTGACTTTTGGGAATCTGCTCAATCTAGACCGGCTGGACGCTGCTTCGTCACCATCTCCCTTTTGACTGAAAGGTAAACCTTCTGCAGGTAATGCAGCAGGGTGTTTAACAAAACTTGCATCACTTGTTTCTACATGAGAAATAGATCTTTCATCTGTGGAATCAGATGCATTTGCCTCTCTACTGGCCTGATCCCTTCTAGGCTCAAACTGGGATTCAGAGAAAGAAGAGCCCTGGACAACAGACTCTTCAGTTAGTTTGAGTTCAGTAGGAAGTAGGGCCGATTCTGTTGTAGTTGCTTCAGCTGTTTCGCTCTTGCCAACTTGGTTTGCAGCTAGAGTGCATCTCTCTTTTGCCTTCTGTTCATATATTGTCTCCTTTTGGGATGTTTGTTGTGAAGTCCTGGACGCTTGCGCGGGTTTTGGTTCATGTGGTGTATGATCAACATCACTAAGAGCCTTCAGCTCACTACATGTCTGATCGCTGGTTTCAGGGAGAGCGACATCAGTCCTGGCGGTTACGCTGCTTTGTCGTTCCAGTGGGGCAACATTCTGGAATGTTTCTGCAACTTCTTGATCTGAAGCTGAAGACAAAGAAAACAGAAAGCCCTCTTCTCCGAGGTGGCTGGATTCATTCACACCAGCTGGTCTTTCCTCTGTAATTATACATTTTACACAATAAATCAACCAAACTCTAATTCCCATGTCAAGATGAAGGCTCAGTGGTTTCCGTGTCTCCCACCTGTTACACAGTCATCTGTGGTCATTTCACTCGGCGCTGACTGAGACATGTGAGTCAGGCTGCCAATGGCCAAAAGGGTTTGTGCAGCTTCATTGTAGCTTTCATTCTGTGAAACTACATTGAAAAAAACAAAAATGTATGCATTAACAGTGGTTAAAAATATAGTAGACTGCTACCAATGCTTTTGCCACATACCTTCAGTGTTTTCTGCAGAAAGAAAGTCTATAACATCCTAGAAGTAAAAACACACAAGTCACATTAAAATCAAACAAAGCAGCATGTGGAAACTCTGTTGCATACTATGATGGACTGAGGTTGATGCTCAGATTCCCAAGATGGTGTAGTGTAAGTTTAATGTTTGTGAGAGTTGGTGGGCCCACAAACTACGCTGTATTGCAGAATCTCATGTACTGTTGTATTTGTTGGTTAATGGACTCTAAAAACCACAGAATCCTGTCTTTGACAAACCCTGCACAGAGCTCCGTCATGTTTTATTCTGATATGTGGAATCATTGGCCTTTTAGTCTCTGTAAGCCCTTAACGCTTCTTTATTTCTTTTAACCCTCTTGATATGGACCTATTTGTGCATCTTAAATAAACATAACACATAACATATCATCCCTTCCATCACTGGTTCAATGATTTCGTTATTATGCTTAATAGAACTTTCCTCAGATCAATTGTTCACTAATAAAACAAATTATTTTTATTTGTGAGCATTTTTCCTGATAATAATAAATATTTTATAGCAGTAAAAAAGTTTAAGAACCAACAAAGAGACAAGTCAAGTTCTGAGTCATTTAGATAAAAGTAGTAATAAATTACAACTTATCATTTTTTAAATTTTTTTTATATTTTAAATGTTTTTGTTTTTGTGAAGCGCCTCATGGTTTTTATCTTGAGAGGCGCGATATATAAGATTGTTATCTTTCCTTCTTTATTTTAGTTTACGAAGTATCAGAATATGTTGATATGCCAAAATAAACAGATTGTGGTATCTTCTATAGGCACATTGTGTTCATTGAAAAATATATTAATGTCTGTTCAGGAATATAATTTCCTCTGAATCCAGTTAATATCTTCACTAAGGGATCTGATTTTACATTTGAAATGGCTTGTTGTATTGTTAGTAAAATGAATGGTTGGATGAAAAAATATCTACGTAAAACAATCAGACTGTAATACGCTTCTTTATTTAACACAGCACAAGTGTTATTTTCACCTTGTTTTTGCTGACGGTTAGACCATCACTGTAGCCTTCCTCAGAGCTTTGCCGCTGTTGGCAGCGTCACTTCCTTCTCTGTTTATCTGTGGGCTGCAGAGCACGATGTTGCCCTCTGCTGCCCGTGTTCTCCTTGTTGTTGACAGTCCCATGCGTGATCTAATGTGTAGACTCCATTGTCTCTGTTCATGGTTGTGTCCCATCTCCTTATTTCTATGGCTTCCTTCATCCATAGTTTGTATTTTTGTTGTTAGGTGAATATGAGCCGTGTTTCCATCCTTTCCAGTCCATTAAATGGTTTTCTCTTGTGCAGTGGTCTGTTGCAGCTGATTTCTTTACTGTGCTTTCTGCTTTTTGTTTTGCTGCTCTTGTGTGTCTTCGGCTTGTTTCCTTCTCACACTCTATGCTCTATTGTTCGTGTGTTGAGTTGGCGTCCGGGTTCTCCTATGTATGTCGTCGTCTTCCTCCGCTTATCCGGGTCCGGGTCGCGGGGGCAGCATCCCAACTAGGGAGCTCCAGACCGTCCTCTCCCCGGCCACCTCCACCAGCTCCTCCGGCAGGACCCCAAGGTGTTCCCGGACCAGATTGGAGATGTAACCTCTCCAACGTGTCCTGGGTCGACCCAGGGGCCTCCTGCCGGCAGGACATGCCTGAAACACCTGCCTAGGGAGGCGTCCAGGAGGCATCCTGACCAGATGCCCAAACCACCTCAACTGACTCCTTTCGATCCGGAGGAGCAGCGGTTCTACTCCGAGTCCCTCCCGAATGTCCGAGCTCCTCACCCTATCTCTAAGGCTGAGCCCGGCCACCCTACGGAGGAAACTCATTTCGGCCGCTTGTATCCACGATCTCGTTCTTTCGGTCATTACCCAAAGCTCATGACCATAGGTGAGGATTGGGACGTAGATCGACCGGTAAATCGAGAGCCTGGCTTTCTGGCTCAGCTCCCTCTTCACCACGACAGATCGGCTCAGCGTCCGCATCACTGCAGACGCCGAACCAATCCGCCTGTCGATCTCCCGATCCCTCCTACCCTCACTCGTGAACAAGACCCCGAGATACTTAAACTCCTCCACTTGAGGTAGGACCTCTCCCCCGACCCGGAGTTGGCAAGCCGCCCTTTTCCGGTCGAGAACCATGGTCTCAGATTTGGAGGTGCTGATCCTCATCCCAGCCGCTTCACACTCGGCCGCAAACCTACCCAGCAAGAGCTGAAGGTCAGAGCTGGATGAAGCTAGGAGGACAACATCATCCGCAAAAAGCAGAGACGAGATTCTCCTGCCACCAAACTCCACACACTCCACACCACGGCTGCGCCTAGAAATTCTGTCCATAAAGGTAATGAACAGAACTGGTGACAAAGGGCAGCCCTGGCGGAGTCCAACCCTCACCGGGAACAGGTCCGACTTACTACCGGCTATGCGGACCAAACTCACGCTCCTCCTATGTATGTTTGCATGGTAATTCGTATATCCCTCCACACTTACATCCTGCTGGTATCTTGTCTTTTGGGTGCACTAGTCTCTTTCTAAATGTTGTGTATGGTTTTGTTGGTGTGTTTATGTTGTGTTTTTTTCATTGTTGCTGTTATTTTTTCTGTTATGTATGGAAGGGTTATCACCGACTTTGGTTCTTGTTTTTCTGTATTTGTGGTCTTTTGTTTTGGTTGTTCTTTTCTTTCTGTTGTTTATCGTTTTCCTTTGTTTACTGCCCATGTTGGGTTAATAAGCAGGAGCAAAGCTCTGAAGAAGGCTACAGTGACAGTTGAAACGTCAGCAAAACAAGGTAAAAACAACACTTTTGCTGTGTTGTAAAAAGAACCGTATTACAGTTGGATGAAGCACACAGAACGAACAAACAAAAGATGTAAAGCAATCGAGATCGCTATTTTTCAAAAACAATGATGCTAATTAGTTAAATTCTCCTTATTACTCAAACTATTACAATTTTCATAATAAACTGTCAAAATCAAAGCTAAACAGATAAGATTAAAACCAAAGTAATCAAACTACAAACCAAATGCATGTGATAGTAGTAACGTAATCGTCATGATCAATACTAGATTTGTTAAATCAGGCTAAAGAAAGCAAAGCTTTAGGTGTAACTATCAGGATTACATTTACTGCTTCTACATTTTTGTAACTTACAACCAGCAGGTCCAACTGATGTTCACATGGCTCAGCATTGCCAGTCTCATGTTGTGCCTTCTGACAAGAGGAATCAGGGCACAATGCATCTTGGGAGATGCCCAGCACATCAGGCATACTGTCCAAGATGTCAAGCTAAGTGTGGGATGGGAGGGGTCGAGAGGAAATGTAAAAGCATGCATAAAGAAACAAAAACACTTATTTCTTTTAAAAATTTGTTTAAAGGGAATGAATGTATGAATGGTGTGTAACTGTAGAGAAAGTGTGTGTTTACCTCTTCAATAGACTCATCCACTTCTGAAACCAAAACATTAGGAGAGTGCAGGCTGGAGGTCATAAACAAAGACTCGTCGGTGTCTTTCCCGGACGTGCATGAAAAGAGCTGCTCTGCTCGTCCGTCTGTGTCCTCCAACTCCCTTTCACTGTCTTCATCACTGAAGTCTGTCTTGGAAGACCTGAGCGTGACCAATTTGGACTTTTTGGGTTTTGGAGCCAACTGTGGCTTCAATGACTTTTTTCTGCTAACAGAGGATTTAGATCTAGATGTTGCTGGAGCAGACTCAGACGTAGAGAGATCCTCTTGGGAAGCATACGTCAAGGTCTGGGTAGGTTTTGGGACTCTGCCATATCTAGAGTACACAATTACAAATGAACAAAAGTGAGTAGTACTACGATGGTACTAAACAACAAACAGTCGGTGAATGCAACGTTTAGACATAAAAAATAGGGCTGTCGCGATTGAGGAATTCCCCCTGCGGTGAGTCAGGGCAGCTCAATATTGCGATATGCGATATTATTGCACCTCGTTTTTATTTATGTACTTAGCAAATTTGTTTGTTAATTACTAAACTCATGGCAATATTTCCTTTGAAACATTGTGCTTACACATTTAAAAAATGTTAGAAAAAAATACATGGCCATTTTTAACACTTTATTGAATGCAGATCAAAGGGCAGTAACGGCATTCTCTGACTGAACTTAAGAACAACATTCAGGAGGTTTCACTTTGAAATGCAAATTTGGCTGCAACATCTAACAGAAATAAAAAAAAGTGCCCTACTATCTCCTCAATCAACGCGGACTTTACCTCTCAGCATGCGCTGTCGCGAGATTAATCAAGTGCGGTAATTGCGGTGGCACGTCATGCAGCGCGGTGGGTTTCTTAATATCGCGATATATTGTTCGTGCGATTATTGTGACAGCTCTAATAAAAAAGGCAAGTTCATTACCTCGTGGGTTTTTGAGGCTTAATCACAGCTTCCTCTTCTTCTTCAGATGAAATATCATCACTAGCAGAATTCCTTAGATTGGAACAGTTCAAGTCTGATTCTTCTACATTTACCTGAAATAATAAAGTTTACAGTAAGGTAAACTTGTACAAATGAGAAAAAAGCTTTGTTAAGAGGCTTCCTCACTCACACTCTTCTCCCCTTTCTCTGATGACGGTTCTTCCTCTTGTCTGGAAGGAGGAACCTTTTTACCTCGCTTCAAACCCAAAACCACAACCGGCGTCGGTGCTCTGGCTCGTTTCAGCTTGGCTGGCTTGATGGTCGACTCCTTGGTTGTGTTGGCGTTCTGAACATTTTCCAATCTTAATATTAGAACAAAGAAAATGGATTTCATTTAAAATAAAAACAAGCATTTGTTTAAAACAGCACTTGTTGAGTTTTGTTACATGTCTGAATTGGTGTCGTCCTCGGGTCGTGCCTCCGAGTCTTCACCTGAGAAGACAAACAAAAAACTAAATTCAGCAGGAAACGGTATGAACACCAGTCTAAAAACATTTTCCTCTGCCATGCCCTATTGCAGCCTCGGCAGGTCTACCATTGGCTCGGCTAAGTTTAGGCTGGGCCAGTCACGCTCATCCACTTCCGGACCTTGGGTCCCCAGAAGAACAAAAAGATGAATGCAAGTCAACGGGGCTAAAAACGCTGTTTTCTAATTCCGCTCGTTTCGAACCGTGGATTTCACAAATGATGTCCGTGAATTTTAAAGACGCATTTTGATACCAAGGGCGTCCTCATTTTCAAACAGGAGGAAATGTTATTTTAGGTTGTGTGTGAAAACGTACTGTATAGAGATTTGGTGCAATAACTATAAAAGTTCACTCCAACCTCTCTTTATTCTCCAGAAACGGGCTGTAAGGGTCATACATGAAGTCCATTTTTTTCATCACACTAACATTTTATTTTTAAAGTCCAAACAGCTCAAATTTTTTGATGTAGTTGATTTTTATGCTGCACAAATACTTAATAAAGCCAGTAAAAAATATTTACCCTCCACTATTTAAAAACTATTTATACAAAGCGAAAGGAGTTATAATCTGAGGGGTTGTGGTAGCTTTAACCCTTTGATGCATGAATCATGAAATCTTCAACCATGATTTTTTTTTTTTATTCATTCGTCTTTAGGTGTGAATGAAACAAATTTCAACAAATATTTTTTGTAAAATTTTATAATTTACAAATAATGTATTACATGTCCACCTCAGTGGACAGCGTGCAATCTGAACATGAAATATGTTGGCTTGGCTCACTGAAGTCCAAATGGAGGGGCTCAAATGCAATAAAGTCTTCAACATCTGTGCTTAATAGCAAAAACAAATAAATAACAATTTTGAGTACCTGTCCACTGTAGTGACCATTATGCATCAAAGGGTTAAATTCCAGGTGGTAAGAACTACCAGAAAAAGTTTCTGTGTGTCTGTGTGTGCTGTCAAATTGTGGAATCAATTAGAAACTCAGCTCAAACTGTGTGTAAATATTAGTCTAAATTAACATATAAAAAAATGGTCCACATGGTAGGGGTGAGGAGTGAGCACCACCTCATAACATAACATGACATGACATGACACACACACACACTTGTTACATACATACATACATACATACATGCATACATGCATACATGCATACATACATACATACATGCATACATACATACATACATACACATTGAATTTGCTAGATTCATTCAATTTGACTCAATGGGTATCGTCCCCAACTCATGCCAGGGGTCACACCCTGGACCTGGTTCTCTTTTGGTCTCCCTGTCATGAACCTTGTGACTTTGCCTCCGGTGTTCTCTGACCACTCTCCAATACTCTGTGATGTTACGTTGCCACGTCCTGTCCCTGTGTGTGAAGTTCCAGCTACTAGGTTCAGAGCCCTGGATGCAGAAACTATTTCAAAGTTTGTGGACTATATGTCTGTAAGGTTAGAGACCTTTAACCCTGATCCATCTAACATTGTTCACTATTCACAACACTTTGATTTACATTGTAATCAGGTCCTGGACGTGGTTGCCCCTCTCAAGCTTTGCAAGTCTCGGCCTAGGAGGGAGCCATGGCTCTCTGATGTCACACTGGCTTGCAGGCGGGCGTGTAGATCCTCTGAGAGAAAGTGGAAAAAGGATGGCCTACAGGTCTCACGTGAGTTGTTCAGAGCATCTCTGGTTGCTTATCAGGATGCTGTGAGGGCTGCCAGAACGGCCTATTTTGCAGAAATCATCAAAACACACTCTAAGAATCCCAAGATTCTCTACAAAACACTAAACTCTGTTCTGGTGTATCAGGAGCCTAGCTTCATGTCTCCTACAGCTGCTGGAAACTCTGAAGATTTTCACAAATTCTTTGTTCATAAAGTATCGGGCATTAAAGCTGCTATTTCTGGTAACTCTATTGACCCTGTTCCAGTTCCTCCATCACTGCGTCGCCTACAGGTTGTGCAGAACAGGGCAGCCAGGTTCCTGACTGGGACCAGGAAACGGGACCACATCAGTCCGGTTCTGGCCTCCCTGCACTAGCTTCTGGTCTGTTATCGTTCACACTTTAAACTCCTCGTCTTTGTTTACAATTTCTTCCAGGGTGGTGCTCCCCCCCATCTAGCCACACTCCTGAACAAACATTCCCCATCTGACCAAGGCCTGCTCGCTGTCCCTCGTTCTAGGTGTCGTACTCGCGGGGACCGGGCTTTCTCAGTCCTAGCACCGTCGCTCTGGAACCAGCTGCCACCCTCAGTTAGGCTGTCCCCATCTCTGCCAGTCTTTAAGAGTCACCTAAAAACCCACCTCATGCGCTTGGCGTTTCCAGAACATGTTTGGCTCTCTTTTATGTTGAATTTATTTCCCTGTTTTCATTGGTCTCTTAATCCTTTGTTTTACCCATTTGTCTTCTACTTTAATGTTTTACCTTTTTTGCACTATTTGAATTGCTTTTATTTTCGATTTATTCATCATGTTTCACATTTTTCATGTACCATGTTCAGCGCCTTGGCCTTCCCGACAGGGTCGCGGAAGGCGCTTTATAAATAAAGCTTTGATTGATTGAAGTCACTTGTTTCTTCTTATTCTTTGACAGTGTACGGCAGACTGATTACTGTAGTGTTTTTCGTAGGTCTGATTGGTGCTAGCGCTGTCCAATTGTGTGCAGAGACAGTTTTAAGATTTTAACCTACTGCGAGTTCTAGTTATGGGTCGTGGCCAGATTTACATATAGTTTGCCGGACTCATAGTCTAGAAGTAAGGAAATGCTGAAATAACTGCGAGGAAAAATATATGTTCCATTAGACAAATACAGAAATGATGCAGAAAATTAAATTTCTCTCAATATTCCGACCTGTTTTGGTTTTCTTTTGATTGGGTTCCTCAGTCAAGTGCTCTGCTCTTTTCTTTCTCGTGCGCTTTTTCTTCTGTTCATCTCCATCATTACACTGTTCTTCGTTCTCTTTCTCTCCCCCGTCCTCCAACTCAAAATCCTCCCTCTCATCCTCTGAATCACTCAGCTGCTTTGCAGATTTTTTCCCTGTGAAAAGTTTTAGAAAATAAATCCCAACAGAACTGTAACACCAAGAAGCGTTCAGTTATGGGACAGTAAGACACCCCCACATATTAAATATACATTACAAGTCTCACTTTTTCTTTTAGTCTTGCTCTTCTTGTTGGTGTTCTTCTCTGCAAGCAGCTTGAGTTTCTTTCTGTCTTTTTGAACTTCCAAAACTTTTTCCAGCAGCTTAGAGAAGTACTCAATGTCCAGTTTACGCCTCTCTCCTATCAGAAAGAAAAAAAGTCTGTGTGGTTTTAATCAAATTCAATAAATACAAATGATCTGATGTCATCTTTAACTGGTCAAACGTAAGATCTCCTTCCAAACGTACTGAAAGCCTTGTCCACCCTCCAGCAATTCTCCCGCTCTTCTTTTTTGAACTTGTTCTGTAAAAAAAACATTTGCGATTTTCTAAAAGATCGTATACATTATCACACTTTACAAATGCATATTTGCATTTATAATTACCTTTATCTCTAATCGAGATCTGTGTGGAAACAGCTGACAAATCATGGAAAAGTCAGTCCCCACCATGCTAACTGCTAGGAAGAACATATCCGTCTCTGACCAAAAGAAAAACACAAAAATGAAAAAGGGCATCTTTTTTAATTCAATGTGTTATTTGCTATTATTGAATGTACCTTCTATCGACCAGGGTTTGGTATAATTTGCCTTCCTGAAACTTGAGTAAGTTGTGGTGGAGCCGCGCTCAAAAATAGGCTCTCGGTCTTGAGCGGGGTTCGGACCTTTAGCTCGCTGGACCTCCACCGTCAGGCTGAGGTTTGCGTTCACAAAACATATTCAGCTCAACTAGCAACCACACCATCTCCACAACCGTAAAAATAAATTAAACGCTTCATGGGAGTGCTGACCTTTCTTCATCAATGATCAGTGAGCCATCTTCTGCCACTTTCACCTGAGGCACCAAGAGGGCTTCTTCCTGGTCTTCTTCTGCCGATGCAGGCTCCTCCTCCTGTTCCTCTGGCGGTAAAGCTGTCGTAGCAGGTTGGGCTTCGGGTTTTTCTGGTCGCTCTGGAGACCTTCAGAACATTTTTCAAATATATAAGAGGGAGACAAAATTTCTATTAAAAGAACTTGCATTTTAATTTAGTAATTGCTATTTTTAAACAGAAAAGTACAAAAAAGTAGGGCCCGACCGATATGCTTTTTTTGGGACCGAGACTGATATAAAACCCTTAACAAAGGCCGATAGCCGATATAATGGCCGATAAATCTCCCTCACAAAAAAAAGAAATAAAAATTTTCTTAAGATTAAACCCGTCATTCTCTGCCTTTTTGATGCAAACTTATTTCTCTCTTACACACCAAAGAACTGTCTCCATAACTCACTAGGGTTTCCAAGTAATGCAAATAAGATTTATTTAGCAATCTCAAAAACAACAGAACACAAACTCAGTCACAGCATAAATCTAACATTCAAGTTTTTTCTTGTAAACTGTGGTTTCCACAAATACATTTTAACTTAAAGGAATATTCCACCACTTAGTAAAACTGTGTCTTGTTAAGATTCCCCAGAGTTAGACAAGTCAGAAAAAGCATTTTATAACCAGCCCAATATGATCTGGCAGCAGTTGGTTTTCTTAGTTTAGCATAAAACAATGTAAGTGAATTCACATACACTGTAGTGTTTTTTATGTAGGTGAATGCAAGCCTTCCCTTCCATTGCTTTATGCTAAAACAACTGGTTACAAAATGTTTTTTCTGACTTGGCTAACTCTGGGGAATCTAACAACACACACAAGTTTAGAGACAGACGATCCCTATAAGAATATTAAAATAATAAAAATGCAGCAATAAATAAAACGTAATACTTGTGCTTTGTAACAAAGTAACACTCTGTGGAAGTTAACTTCTATCCATCTTTTGAACCCGCTTTGTCCACGCAGGGTCGGGGGGGGGCTATCTCCAGCAGTTAACGGGCAAGTAGGCGGGGTACACCCTGGACAGAGAGCCAGTCCATCGCAGGGCAACACAGAGACACACAGGACAAACAATCATGCACACACACACCTAAGGACAATTTAGACAGATCAATTAACCTAACAGCTAACAGTCATGTTTTTGGACTGTGGGAGGAAGCCGGAGTACCGGAGAGAACCCATACATGCACAGGGAGAACATGCAAACTCCATGCAGAAAGATCCCAGGCCGGGAATCAAACCTAGGACCTACTCGCTGCAAGGCAACAGCTCTAACCACTGCGCCACTGCACAGCCCGGAAGTTAACTTGGTGAACTTATTCACCCTGGACAGGAAATAATTGCACATAAGAAACCTAAATAAGAATAAATTTTTAAAAAAAAATGTTCCAAAACAATAATTTGTGTTCAAAGGAGTAGAGCCACACAACATGAGTTCATAAAGCTGGCGCCATCTGCTGGATAGGTAGCACAATATCGGCCATATCGGCCGTCTTTTTGGTCGATAGCCGATACTGTTAATGACCCCAATATCGGCCGATATATCGGTCGGGCCCTACAAAAAAGTGGCAAAAAGTTCCACTGTTCAAGCATGGCTACTTTTATTTACACCCAAATCTGCTTCAAAAGATTGAAAACTGAAAAAAAATAAATCTGAGGGATTATTTTTGCTGAGATCATAAACAGCATCCGTTAAGATTCCTTTACTTAGGACGCTATAAACATACTTTTCTCTCAGTGGCACAGGGGAGAGCGCACTCTCGTTCTCTTGGGCTGAATCTTCTAAACTGCATCTGAAAAAATGCAAATAAATATTAGAAAACAACATCATCAGTAACATTTAGGCTTAAGGACAACAAATTATAAGACACTTACGTCATTGGGTTAGATGTTGGGATATAATGGATAAGGTCTCGCATTGTCATCTTTGTGGGATCCAAAGAAAATTCCTTTTTACGAGTCTTAGCTTTCCGCACATTCTGCAACATGAAACGGTAAAATCTAAATAATAATGTTTTGTTTTTGGTTACCAGGCCTTTCCACTAGATGCTTAATATCTGCGAAGCATAGCACGCTGCAAAACGTCACGTTTTGGACGCATCCCAGAAATGTAGGGAAGCATTGCTCGGTTAAATTTACACTTTGAGTTTGGTTTTTACACACGACGATTCTACAACGTTTCAACCTCAGCAGTTCAAATCGGGTCAGACAGGAAGCCAAACGTGACAGAAGTGTAAAACATCCGGGACCTTTTGAAATAAAACACACATGCAGATTTCAAGTAGCTTAGCTAGTATCTAATCCAATCCGATCTAGTTATGAAGCACTAATAAAAAAAACAGCAACGTGTACCAAAGTGCTGTTCAATAAAAACATGAACAAGAAAATACAGAGGCAACAAGATTCAACAAGTCACAGCATTTCAATCAAAGGTGAGTCTTCAGGCAAGATTTAAACATGAGAAGAGAGTCAGCCTGTTTTACATGTGTAGGCAGCTCGTTCCACAACCTGGGACGAATCACTGGAAAACCTCCGTCTCCTCTGCTTTTGCGCTGGGTCTGGGGAACCATAAGTAGCCCAGGCTCAGCTGATCAAAGAGACCGCACAGGTACATGAGACATCAGCAGTTCCAACAGGTAGTGCAGGGCAAGGCCATTTTGGCATTTAAAAAAATTAAAAACCATATTTTCATCTATTTGGTACCTGACCGGGAGCCAACGAAGGGCTGATGGGACCGGTGAAATATGGCCGTGCTTACAAGTACCAGTTAAAAGACGTGCCGCAGCGTTCTGAACCAGCTGCAGGCATGAAACGAAAGAGTGGCTGATGCCCACATACGGGGTGTTACAGTAGTCAAGTCTAGTCGCCACAAGCATGGATAAGGATTTCAAATATCTGAGATGAGAACGTTTTTAACTTCACTAGCTGTCTCAGGTGAAAAAGCAGGGTATCTGCAGGTTTAAGGGAGCCAAATTTAAGACTTTTTAAGACCTTTTTTAAGGCCACTTTGACCAAATTTAAGCTTTTTTTTTTTTATTAAATTTAAGCTATAATTTACAGCTATTGCCTGGAACCGGTGCTAACCATGTTGCAACGTGGGATTAGCCATCCAGTTACCATAGATATTGCACTTCCCCATGGCGCAAGCTCCCACTAGCATGCTCATCTAAAAATAGCCCCCTTTCACAACCAACCGAACGTGTAGTTACGCTTACGCCAATATCATACACAAAAAATGCTGAACACTAACTAGAAATTCACGAAAATTTTATAGAAATAATTTTGTTTATTGGGTCTTTGGTAATTTAAGACCTTTGGAAACTGTATTTAAGGATTATTTGTCATTTTTAAGGATTTTTAAGGCCTTAAATTTGGAAAAGCAAATTTAAGACTTTTTAAGGACCTGCAGATACCCTGTAGTAACCAAAGTTGTTCTCTTTGACGCCTCCTTGGTAGAGGTAAAAAGAAGATAAACCAAACCTTTTTTGGAAACATGCTGCCATCTTTCTCCGTGTTTATCGTGTGACCTACTGGTATTGTGCCTGGTCTTGCAATTCTCAGGTGACTTTGTGACGCCACATGCTGCACGGAATGCTCTTGTTGTCGTTTAGCGTCTGAAACACTCCCCATGGGAAGCAACATGCTGCTTAGCTCGCAGGTAAAATTAATCTATTACGTCACACCTCGCTGACACATCAGGTGGAAAGGCTGGATTTTACGAGCAACAGAATAAAGATGAGTGTGGTTGTGTGTTGCGCGGTATTAACTAACCATTTCTTTCCACCGTTCACGTTTCAGCAGCTCTCTGAGCTTCTGGGCCTTCATCAGTCTTTGCACATCGGACGGGTCATTCAGGAGTCTGCTCAAAGACAGCGCTGACTGGGTCATTGAAACCACATTTTTGGATGAAATGAGAGTCTTTGCTTTCTCTGATATTTCTGTTGCATCTTTATCTGGTAGAGATGGCGGTACCCTATCTGGTAGTCTGGGAGGAACTTCTTTAACCTGACTGCCTGAAATGTTTTCTGCAGGTTGGCTATCATCAGCTGGCAGATGGGTTTGTTCTTGTGGGTCTTCAGCCAAGTGTCCTGATTCCTCGGGAGACACGGGGGTGAGGTCTGGTTGGACTTTGTGCTGCTTGCTGTCTTCAGAAAGTCTCCGTGGTCTTGGGGACTGAAGACCACGAGGAACTGGAGGTTTGCTAGACGTTGAGGGCCTCTCTGCGTCTGAGCCAGAGATGTTGGCAGGAGCTGCTTTGATGGGAGATCTTGGCATGCGTGGGAGGGCAGGAAGGCGACCGGGGGCCACTTTGGGCTTGACAGAAAACCGCTTTCTTCTTTGGACCGATGCAGAAGAGCTGGTACTTTCTCCATTCTGGTCGTTTCCAACTCTAAACAGTTACAGAAAGAATTATTTGTGCTGCAGAAAAACAGTGTAGAACTTTTGGGTTTTAAAGTAGCTGGAAGCCTATGTGTGACTCACCCTGGAGCGGAGGTGTTTTCTGATGGGCTCACGTCAGATTTATCTGTAGCAACAGCAGCACTGCTGCCTTCACCGGTTTCTTTCGGAGTCTCACTGGCATCCTGGTTCCCTGCAGGAGGTTCCTGAGAAGCAGCCGCTGCTGTTCTCCCCCCAGTGTTTACATTGGGACGAACACTAAACCTTGACCGGCGAAACATTTCAATCTAAACACAGAAACCTGAGGTTAGATTAGCCTTCCATGTAGAAAATCTGACAACCTGGTGCAAATAAAAATCACTTTATTAAAAAAAATAAAATAAAATAAAGAAAACACCAATCTGATTGTTTTGCTTTGTCATTTCTGACCAAGTGGATTTACGAGGTATTCATTATCGACATGTAAACATTATTTGCTTTTCTCCTTATTGCAATACATACAGCTACATACTGTAAACAATAACATATTTCATTTATCCTAAATACATCTTTTTAATTCCCATACTTTTTTCATTTGAAAAGGCACATATCAAAATAATATTTCTGCTGAAATGGACCATTTTCCTGTCAACTTTATTGCTCTGTGATGCTCTAAACTAAATCAGTTTTCTGTAAAAAATATATGCTTCTTCTTTCTCTATCAGTGTCTCAACAGCCAATCATCTGTCTCCATTCGGGACTACCTTCTACATCTTCTACCCGCACATCAACTAACTTCATGACCCATTTCATCACATCCATAAATTTCATTTTTAGTTTTCTTTTCAGCCTCCTGTCTGATGGCTCCAACCTCAGTCAGCATCCTTCTACCAATGTAATGGGCGACTGTGACACAGGAGTTAAGTGCTGCCCCGTAATCGGAAGGTTGTAGGTTTGAGTCCCACTCAGTCTGTAGCTGTCATTGTGTCCTTGGCCAAGACGTTTAACCCACCTTGCCTGCTGGTGATGTTCGGAGGGACCGGTGGCACCTGTGTACAGCAGACTCGCCTCTGTCAGTGTGCCCCAGGGCAGCTGTGGCTACAATGTAGCTCATCATCACCAGGGTGTGGGTGTTTGTGTGAATGGGTTAATGACTGACTTTGTTGTAAAGCACCTTGGGAGGGTTCCTGGACTCTAGAAGTCGCTATATCAAATACAGGCATTTTTACTACTTAATGATTGTCCTCTGGACATGTCCAAACCATCTCAAGTCTATCCTCTCCATCTCCAAAATATCTAACATGATCTGTTCCATGATGGACTCATTCCTGACCCCATCAACCTCATCACTTCCAAAGAGGCTATCAACATCTTGAGCTTTGTAACCTCCTGTTCTGCCTCCTTTCTTGTCCTCATTGATACAATCTCTAAACCATAACACATGGCTGGGTTACTACTGTCCTTCCCAGAGTCGTTTTTATCACACCTGACACTTTTCTCCACCCATTCCAACCTGCTTGCACATACGTCATCTCTTTTCCTCTTTGTTGCTTTTGATCGTAAACCAAAAGAACTTAAAAGTCTTCTACCTTATTTACTTCTACTTCCTCCAACATCACCCTTCCACTACTGTCTCTCTCATGAATTTTCCTTAGGAATAAATACTAAAACGGCATTAATTAAAATGAATGTAATATAGTATCGATGGTTACATTAGCATGAAGCCATTTAACAGTGAACAACTATTGCTATTGTGTTGCTAAATGTCATATAACATGAAAATGTAGAGAAATACTCAGACTTAATGAAATACAAAGTTTCTGATAAGATTTTTACAACTTAAAAAGTAAAAACTGTGATAAGCTAAGCAGCTGTAGCTGTAGGGAAAATGGGGCTGAGCATCTAAATTACATTTCCTAAAGCAAAACGAACTCGATAACATACAAAACGTCAGAAATGAGTTACAGGAGAAGTAACTTCTATTTTACGCCAATTTACAGACCTACAGTGCGTTGCTACTTTCATTGACTGATACGCTAATTACGTTGACAGTCCCAGTAGGCAGGCTGTTATTTAATGTAAACATTAAGACAGAAAAAAGGGAGTGGAAGTTAAATAAACTACCACACCTTGAAAATCAAAACTACAAAACGTGCCAAACCCAGGAACAAAACAAGCTCTAAAAGTGCAGAAAAGAAGCAGAGCAAAAACTGGCAACACTTGTGACAGCACGACCCTGCCTAAGTTAGCCTCTGGTTTTACGTGAGTTAAAGGCTGAACCGAACATTGTAGTTTAATTTTAATACGTTAAAGACCATTTTAACAACATACCTGTTACGCAAAATGTTGTTTATCCGGTAAAATAAGCTAACAGCATCGAAGAAAAGAAGAGGGTAGCGGATTCCACGCACTCACGTATCCGCCATATTTGTTTCTGACGCTAAATCTCCCCGGTGAATGGGCTTGTGGGTAATGTAGTCTGAGGATCACACGGTTGAATGAAGCAATTTCTTACAGTACAAAAGCAACCACTGACTTGTTTTTGTTTTTGAACATTTCATTTTGAAAGCAATGTACATACAAATCAAGGGAAACCCGATAAAGAATAAATGAAAGTAAATTATAATTACTGAAATAGATTATTTTTATTTCAAAGCCAGTAAACAAAAATGACATTTTTAACGAAAGAAATAAAATGCAGGTAAAATGTTATTTTAAAAATTTTATTTTCATTTTAGTGTCAACCTATACAATATAATATAATATATGCTTTTCGGTTTTACTTCTTTCACCATCGCATGCTGTCATAAACATATACATTTTAAAATCTATTTTATTGCCATGTACAGAAATTTCCTTCTGAATGTAGGAATCTCAAGAGAAGTTTTCAATGACGGATGAGAAGTATGAATACAAACATTTTCAGGACAATGCCATTCAAATGGTGTTCTTGTGTGGGGTTTCTGTAAAACACACTAGCTTCTAGGTTCAGCTGGCAGGCTGTTCTGGTTTTGGTCAGCACAGGAATTTGAGGCATTGGAAAAATGTTCTGTCAGCTTTTATCCCCTTTCTCCTTGTAAAGTTTAGTGATGCTGCACTGTCTTTTTTCTGCCTTTCGATGACGCTGTTTAGGCATATACAATCTGAGTTGCTGTGTTTCTGCAAGTGTCTTGTTTCACTTTGTAATTAAAACAGAGGAAAAATACTTATAAAGTGAGGTTTTATCCACACAAAAAATAACTTAAAGGAAAAAGAAGATGTTCCAGGTTTTAAGTCTTCTAAATTGGAAAATACAATAAGTTCAAATATAATTTCAATAAATAATTTTAAACCCTTGCAAATTCTATTCATCATGTACGTTTTTACTGATGTAACAATGAGCAGTTAAAGAGACAGAAAGATGGCTTCTCGTCCTACAGATGCATCTGTTTTCTGGTGTTCTATTTCTGCGCTTGCATAAAACATGCAAGTGGGTGTCAGCCGTGACCGATTTGTCGAAATACCCAGCCTCTGTACTGGAAGCAACCCTGCTCTGTGTGCTGTAAATGTACAGGAAATAGCACCAGCACTGTGTAGAAGATTAGGTGTGTCTTAACGTGGGTTTCAGTAATGTGCATGTGCCAAAAGCTAGATAGGCCAAAATATCTCAGAGACCTTCGCCTCTGATCGTAAGATAGAGAACAGTGCACCAGCATTCAACTTTATGTTACATTTCTGGTGTTCCAAATAAAGACTGTTCACTAAATCCTAGTTTTCAGCACAGCTTTTTGTCTCTTTGCTGCAGTGATGAACAGCAAGTCGCCCCCTACCAGATTCTTACTCAGCTCCCACTTCCAGTTTGAAAAATGCAACAAATGCTGTTGAATAGCAGACCAAGAGGGCAGAGCCGCTAACAAATACATACACACACAGGCTCACAACAACATTGTGACATCATATGGCACCAGCTAAGGTCCTAGGGTACCTCTTAGCCAATAGCGATGGCAGATCAAATGCAGTGCAGAGTTTATACCTGACAATAGCACAACACGGACAGTTTTAGGCAGAACATTTTAATTTTAACTAAAATGCACTAAAGTGCTAAACTATTGAGTACACGTGTTGACATGGTTTTGGGGACGAGTTTAACTCAAGACATGCTGAATCACCACTCGCGCACCAAACAGGTAAAAATAAAGTTTCTTTATTAAAATAATCGGGAACTGAGGACGCACTGGATAAGGCCCGGTGGATTGTAATGTTATGTTATGTTTATTTATTTGGCAGACGCTTTTATCCAAAGCGACTTACAATTTATAACCTATGGGGCATGTTGTGATCAGTGGGGGAAACCGGAGTACCCGGAGGAAACCCACGCATGCATGGGGAGAACACGCAACTCCACGCAGAAAGGCCGCAGCCGAGTTTCGAACCTGCAACCTTCGTGCTGCGAGGCAACAGTGTTAACAACTGCGCCACCGTGCAGCCCATGAGTGTGTGTTTGATAGGAATCATTTTAAAGTATGATCAAAACAGGATGAGTTCTTGTTTTCATTAGCGTGTGTGTGTCAAATAACACTTTTTAGCAGATGTCACTAAAGTCTAACATTAAAATCAGTCTATTTACTGCTCAGAACCTTAAAAAAAATGCAGGAGGCAGACAAAGCAGTCTCTTCTGCTTCTTGATCTGCCACTTCTCCTTGCTCTAGTAAGTTATGCAAACTGTTTTAACAAATGACAGTTTTGGTAGGAAAGCCAAAAGCAGAAATGGTTATCAGTGTTACCTGCTCAAAATGTTAAGTTATAATGCAATGGGGGGGGGGGGGGGGGTTTAGAAAATTATCACAAAAGGATTTGACTAAAAAGACAAAAGCTATGCAGGATAGCATCTTTAGACAGGACTGGTCACCTCGTGAGCTGGTACAGCAATGCTATATTTCACAAAGAGTCAAAGCAAAGTGATGATGGGTACTTTTCCTGGTGGTCAGGGGCAGTACATACCTAAATCATTGCAAGCAAGCAATATTTGTGTTTGAGTAAGACTTTACCAGTAGATGGCCATTAGGGTCAAAACTCCCTGGGAGCGTAACCTCCAGCAAAATGACAAGCACACTAGTCTCCCTTACATCACTTGCAACAAGGAGAAAAGACGTAAATGTGTAAAACAATGTTTATGAATGGCAAAAGTTTTGTAACCGCTTGTTACAAAGCAGTAAATGAATTTGTCTTCACAGGCTCCCGTAGAGGGAAATATGGCGGCTAAGATGGTGTCACTCAGAGACTTACACCTACTGCACACCGGCAGCGCGGAACGGCAGCAGAAACGTTTACTTGCAACAACTGCTGCACTCCAGTGCACATCAGGAGAGTCTCAGCCATGAAGCGGCTTCTCAGCTGTGCTCCTCACTCGAATCACAAGATCACAAAATCCCTCGAGTTTATGCAGGCATTAAACCCGATATTAAACCCAAAAGAAGGAAATCACGTTTGATATATGTATATGTCAAATGTGACGTAATCTACATAGATATGAAATTGAATTGCTGCTAGGGCTGGGGGTAAACGATTATTTTTAAAACGATTATTCTGACGATTATTTTATCGAATAGTCGACTATTCTAATGACTATTTAGAAAATTAATCTAATGATTATTTTTCTATTGCACAATTAACAAAAACCAGAAAATCTCAAATAAATTCCTCAAAAAAATTGATAAATTGTTACTGTAAGAGAATAAACACTACAGGCCTTCCATTTTGTATAACACTGCTTTTATTGTGTTGGTTGGTTATGTTCTGGTGACGTGTAGAACTTGGGAGTGCAGGCTGCTGCCTGAGAGGTGGTAGAAGATGGAGTGTCTCCATGCTGCTTTGTTTTGGTCACTTATGTGCGTGAGGCGAGTGGTCTTACGGGTTAAACCAAACTCAGGTGATATTTTACACTAAACCGAAAACCCACAACACTCTAAATGTAATAAAAGGGAGATCTACACCACAAAAAAGATGAACTCTAAACCAAAACGTAACAGCTTATCCCAACGCAAGAAGCTGTTAGCGAAGATGCTAACAGTTGCTTTACCAACGTTAAGTTCAAGTTACCAAGTTTAAATAAACCAAAAACACCCGGCAGCAAACAGACCAGCATGGAGGAGAGACTGCTACCACCAAAACAGCTCTCCTCATGTCTGAAAGAAGCTCCGTTATGAAGGGAGAAGCGCTCCCGGTGATGTTCTACATCTGCGGTAGAGACGAAGCAGCACATCTGACCCCGGAAGTTGTTGTCCGTTGCCGGGAGACGAAGGCGGGCAAAACAGGAAAATAATCTAGTAGAGGATGGACGTTGTTCCGGGTCTTCGGTATTTGGCGGAGATGTTAGTGAAGGCGGAGAAGAGGGCGAACTAGAGGAAAAACAGGCAGATTCCTCCTCTATTTACAAACTCCTGGGGATGCAACAAGTGGGCGCGGTGCGTCGACTTCCGGATCTGACGTCGACAAAGTTTTAGAATCGAGCCGTCGACGTAGTCGAGGCTTCGCTACAGCCCTAATTGCTGCAATAGACTTTTTGGGAAAATTACTGGGGATATTACACTGAAACCGTGTGTGATTTCTTGTCTAGTCCTAGGGTAGTAATGGAACCGCAGCGTCTGAGGAGGGGAGAGCAGAGGAGCAGGTGAGTACAGGGAGGTGAGTCTAAACTAGTTAGGTGCAGAGTTAAGACTTAGGGGGAGCTGGGAGCCGAGGAGTTAGGGAGGGTAGGTGGAGTGCCGGGGTGAATCCAGGAAGGGGGTGTCCAGGAGAGGGAGCGCGAGGAGATCAGGAGAGCGGGCCAGCAGGGAGGAGAGGAGAACGGTGAGTGCTGCGTCCAGAAGATTTATGAGGCACAGGTGAGTTATCCAGCAGGACTGTGGAAAGGTAACTGGGGAGCCACAGGAGAACCAGAGGAGCTTCAGAAGTCCAAGGAGTATCCTGAGGAGTCAAGGTAAGGTCCACAACGATCCAAAAATCCTAGGAACAGGTAAGCAGGGTAAATCCACAGAGACTAAAAATTTCCAAAAATCACTAGAGTTTAACCAGGAGTCACAAAGGGCTGGAACTACAAAGATGTAGTTAATCATCCGGCGTCGAGTTGTGTTCTCCTCCTCCTCTTATAGCTGGACCCGCTGATTGTTAATGAGCTGCAGCTGGAGCCTCCCTCTCCTGAAACACAGCAGCTCAAAGATGGAACAAAAACGAGAGGAGCACTCACCGCGGCACATGACACGTGTCTGCAGTGCGATTGGACACATTTATATAGTTTATCAGAAAAAAAAATGTTGATTTGGGGGTGACTAGCTCTTTAAATGAAATGTGAGTAATGAGGAAGTAAAGTATGATTGCATGAAAATTTAGGAGTGGAAGTAAAAAGCTAATAATTACTCCAGTAAAGTATAAATATGAGTATAGATACCCCAAATTTCGACTCCATTAAGGTAGTTAGTTTAGGTTTTTCCATCTCAATTTGTGAACGTATGCTTTGTTTGTTGCACAACACAAAAGATGATTTCACACTTTCCGTTCTACAACCCCCTGAGGTGCTTCACAATACAATCAGTCATTCACCCATTCACGCACTGGTAAGGACGAGCTATGATGTAGCGAACTGACGGAAGCAAGGTCTGCGAAAGGCTGGTGCCGCCAGGCTCTCTGACCACCACTAGAAGGTGTCTTGCCCAACAACACAACAGCTGCATACTTTGGTCAGAGCCGGGATCGAACCTGCAACCTTCCAATTGCTGGACAACCTGCTCTACTTCCTGAGCTACTGCTGTCCCCAGGTCTCCAGATGTTGGTTCAGTTCCGGTTCTCGGCTGAAAATGCTGCTGTTGTGTCCTTGGGAAAGACACTTAATCCACCCTGATGCAGCCTCGCCTCTGTCAGTGTGCCCCAGGGCAGCTGTGGCTACATTATAGCTTATCATCACCAGCGTGTGAATGTGTGTGTGTGTGTGTGTGTGTGTGTGTGCGTGCGTGCGTGCGTGCGTGCGTGCGTGCGTGCGTGCGTGTGTGTGTGTGTGTGTGTGTGTGTGTGTGTGTGTGTATTACAGGGTGTGGAACCCTAAGGCGCTACACAAATACAGGCCGTTTACCATTTCATTGCTTTTGCTGACCCATTCAGAAGCACACGGTGCCGGCACAACACAAAAGACGATTTCACACTTTCCAAATCATTTAGCCTGGAGATTTAGCATAAAAAGTAATATTTAGAAATCGGTAAAATTGTCATTGCAAAAAGACAAACTGCTTTGCTGCAGCAGCTTCTGGTAAAAAAGAGGTGTGAAATACTTTAAACAGAACACAGAGTTCAGTTCTTTTTTGGTCAACTTTTACAGAAACCTATTAGTGTCTCAGTCATGACGCGCACTCAACAGAGAAACATCCTCTTTTGGAGGGCCATTGGTGAGAAGCTTTTTACTTTTCTCTTTCATTTGCTTAAAACTCTATATTTTTGTTAATATTCCATAATTAACAAAACACCCTCCACCCACTTTGCTATCCTTTTGTTTTCTGTCTCCTTCCCAGGTCTTCTCATCTCTGTCTCTCCCTCCGCTGCTGCAGGTCAGAAACAGTTAGCAAACGCACCTTGACATGCAAGTTTGTATAAACATTTTACAGAAAGTATTGATGCTGTTCTTCTCTTCTTTTTTTTTTTAGAGAATGTCAGTTTAAATCAGCAGACTTGCTTTGGACGAGTTGAAATCTATTACAACAACAGCTGGGGAACTGTCTGCGATGACACATGGGACATGAAGGACAGTGAAGTGCTTTGCAAACAGCTGAATTGTGGGAGAGCCCTGGAGGCTCCAGGGTCAGCTCGGTTTGGTACAGGAAGTGGACACGTCTGGCCTCATACTTACACATGTTTGGGAGACGAAAGCTCTTTACAGATGTGTAAAAACGAATCAAGTGACTCTTCATGTGGTCACACTCAGGACGCAGGTGTTCTCTGCTCAGGTGAGAAGACTTCTAATGTCTGCTTCAGTTATGATCACGCAGTTACTCAATTCTCTGTTTTGAGTACTTTTACTCATTTTTACTTTTACTTGAGTAAAAATGCATTAAAGTAATGCTTTTCGTATCTGAATACAATCTTTTGTTGACTCAACCCAGTTATGATCTACAGCTAAATAGGACTTTTCTACCTAATTCATTCTAAGCTGATGCAAAAAAGGCAGTAACTCTTGAGCTGAGGTTTGAGAGGTGTTAGGTGAGACTCGCCTCCATCTTGTGCGAATCAAACTGTGCAACACTTTTGCCTAAAATGTTTTAGGTTTGTAGTCTGGTTTATGTTTTGGCTGATGTGAATTTGAGGATTTTAAAATAGAAAATATGTCTAAATTATATTTACTGCACATTTAAGATAAAAATAAGCGGCGTTTGAATACAAAAGTGTGTAAATGTAGCTTTTTTATACTCAAAGTGTTATAAAAAGTAAAAAAATATATATATCTTTATAATTTAATATTTTATAAAGTGGATTTTCTGTTGTAAGTTTTATTAAATAAAAGTCATTTAAACAACTTACTTCTAGGTGGCTTTGGTTAACCAAACTTTCATCTTCACTTCCTCAAAGGACAGACGGTTTCTTGATAGGGATGAAATAGTGTCTGTCTTAGTGAATTTTGAAATTCTGGTATTGCTGCTGGGCTTGAAATTAAATTAAAATAATTCTGAGCTTAACTAAACCCACAGAAATAATATCAGTCCAAAAAAGTGTTAAAATTGTGGTTTTAGTGAATTTTAAGTAAAAGAAAACACGTTTTGGTCTCACTAGAAAATGTCTTTTGTAATTTTTTTAAGTGTCCATTGGTGTAATTTTTCATCTTGTCGCTTCACTTTCAAACATTAGGAAAGAATCAGCTGTAATGAGTCATTTAATACCTCCAAAAGACGTCATGACAGTGAAACCAGACCCCACCATCACTCAGCGCTTTCTAAAACAAACAAAACTGAAAGGACATGGACAGCTGGTGCATCATTAGGATTCAGAAAGTTTTCATTCTTTTCTAATGAAATAAAAATGTCACATTGAGTAGAACATGGCATATTTTATGAATGTATTGCTGACATGGAAGTTATTTATTTGTATCAGGAGCCCTGCAGCAGCCCAGCATCTCTCTGACTTACCCAGATGGAGGGCCCATCATCTCCGGACAAGCAGACGTCACAGAGGGTCACAGATTTGTCTTCACCTGCTCAGTTAACTCCGGCTACACTCCGGGGGTTTTTATTCTCAAATTCTCTGGTTCCAGTCCTGGTCTAAAATCTGAAAACACCTCCAGCCTTTCTGTGTCCTTTGACTTCCCAGTGGCTGATCATAAGGACCAGGGCGACTATAGTTGTGTTTACGAAATAAGACTGGGACAGACTCACAGGTCTAACGAGACAGAAAGAATTCACATCGTCATTAAAAGTAAGAAAATCAAAGTTTTCTTCTTCTTTTAATTAGTTTTGTACAAAAACAATTTTATTTCATCTTCTCATTAATCCTTCTTATGAAATGTTTTTGCTTTTAGTCTCTTTGTTGAAACTGCTGATCTACTCAGTTCCTGCTGGGGTTGCACTGCTGAACCTCACGACTTTGTTGGTTGTCTGTCTGGTCCGAAGAAGACGGAAACGCAAAAAGCTTCACATCATACAAAATCAACGTTTGTACTCATCAGGACAACACACGCTCACACGAGTGTTATTAAGAAAAATTTGATACTTTACCGATCTGGTTTTATGACAGAAACCTTATTTTTGTTGCAGTATATACGCAACACTGTTCTGAAAAGGATCATGAGGAAGAAGAGGAGGAGGCGGACTATGTGAACGTTATCCCAGGGGAAACCCAAGAACAGACCGACCCAACTGAAGAAGTGAAGGAAAGCGATGAAGATGGCAACGATTACGAAAGGACGGAGGACGAAAATGACTACGCCCGGAGAATGGAATGTTGTGTTGTTGTAGAGGATGAAGAAGACACGCTCTCAGATCAAGAAGAAAGCAGCGATGATGACAACGATTATGTAAATGTATCTCACTTATTGCCAGAACAAGATGTGGACATTTACGGAAAAGAGGATATTTATCAAAACTTTTAGTTTGAAAAATGCAGCAAAAGGTGGTTCAGAATGCCTGTGCTCGGCTTCTGACCAAGTCCTCCAAACACACCCACATCACCCCGCTTCTCCTGCAGCTTCACTGGCTGCCAGTCAACTTCAGGGTTCATTTCAAGATCCTGGTTCTGGTCTATAGGGCCTTACATGGACAAGCACCATCTTACATTGGTGATCTTCTCAGTACCTACACCCCCAGCAGGTCCCTGTGGCCCAGTGACCAAAGCCTACTGGTTGTGCAGCCCCCAGCTAAAGGTCAAAGGTGACAGATCATCTGCTGCTGTGGCCCCCAGACTCTGGACCTCTCTCCCCCTGAGCCTGAGATCAGTGGACTCAGTGGTCTCCTTTAAAAAGCAGCTGAAAACTCACCTGTTCAGGCTGGCTTTGGTGTGACCTTCATCACCCTCTCCTTGTTCTGCTCTCACCACCTATTCCACCTTCAGGATCTGCTAGTTTGTCTCTTTCCTTTTCACTGCCTCTCTCTTTCTTTACACTTTTTAATCACAATTGTCTATTTTTTGCTCATTTTAAATATATTTTTAATCATTTTCTAAATTCTTTTTATATTTTTTGTTTTTGTGAAGCGCCTCGTGATTTTTATCTTGAGAGGTGCTATAGAAATGATATTTTCTTCTTTCTTCAAAACCTCATTCTTCAAAAAGTAGTTTCATGTGTAAGCTTCTACGTCACACGAACCTCTTCTCTCCTACAACGTTAGGAGTCTCAATAAATTAAATACGTCTAACACTGTTCTTAAACAGAAGATATTGGTTGTAAATGTTGAAGTGTGTCATTAAAACTTCCAAAGTTTCACATTGCTGATTGTATTTCCTCCTATTATTCCTGCTGAGTCAGAGCTTCTGTCTCACAGTGACATGGTCATGTTGACCATGTCAGTAAATAGTGAGGTTAAGATTTTCAACAGCTCACAAAAGAATAAAACTGTTGATTTACCATAAAAGGAACAAGAAACGCTGTGGGCAAAGCTACAGAAGGAAGTTGTGGTTAGATGGGTACTTCTTCTATGGTGTGTTGAAAGACCCATTTACTGCTTAACAACGTTAAAGGAAGATGTTTAACTCCACAGACCACTCATGCTGCTGAATCTCATTCCATCTTTATGCAGATGACATTCCACTCCTTTAAGTTGAAATCCATGTAAAAATTTGGGACTTACGAAATATAATACAAGGAAGTTTTGGTTTGGCATTTTTTTGTGCACAAAGATGAAAATTGTGACTTTTTTTTAATATAACATTACACAAAAACAACAAAGTGATCTACCTGCTGGACCAGGCATATTCTCATCTGGACATTGCTGGGAGCACTGTGAGGGTCATGTTCTTCGACTTCTCTGGTGCCTTTAACACGATCAGACCATCACTGCTGGGGAACAAGCTCACGGAAATGCAGGTGGACGCCCCACTTGTAGGTTGGATTACGGACTATTTAACAAGTAGACCACAGCATGTCCGACTGATGAGCTGCCGCTCAGATAACATCCTGAGCAGCACGGGGGCGCCGCAGGGGACAGTTCTATCACCCTTCCTCTTCACCCTTTACACATCTGACTTCAGGTACAAGTCTCAGTCTTGCCATCTGCAGAAATTCTCTGATGACTCTGCCATCGTGGGCTGTATCAGGGATGGTCAGGAGGTGGAGTACAGGAGTGTGGTGGACAGCTTTGTTGAGTGGTGTGAGCGAAACCACCTACAACTTAACATCACAAAGACTAAGGAACTGATTATGGACTTTAGGAAGCAGGCCCAACCTCCTACTCCTTTCACCATCAGAGGGGCTGACGATGAGATCGTTGAGGACTACCAGTACTTGGGTGTACACTTGGACTCTAAACTGGACTGGACCAAGAACACCAATGCTATCTTCAAAAAAGGGCAGAGTTGGCTTTTCCTACTGAGGCGGCTCAGGTCCTTCAATGTTGGTAGGAACATGCTGACCATGTTCAATCACTCGGTGTTGGAGAGCGTCGTGTTCTTTGCAGCTGTGTGCTGGGGCAGTTGGGTGAAGACAGCTGATTAGGCTGAACAAGCTGATTAGGAAGACTGGTTCTGTCCTGGGTGTCAGACTTGAGAACCTGGAGGAGGTATCTGAGAGGAGAATGCCAAAAAAACTTCTCTCTATCTTGGACAACCCCTCCCACCCCATGCACACCCACATGATGGACCACCGAAGCACACGCAGCAAAAGACTCATTGCCCCTAAATGCAGAACTGACCGCCACAGGAAATCCTTCGTACCGGTGGCAATAGGATTGTTTAACTCTTCCTCACCCTGTAGGTGATTCTCCTAATACTATTACCTAGGCTATTCTGTTCCATCCCAGACCGTGCAATATGACCCAAGAGTTCTTATTGGAAATATGTTTGCATCCCTCCATCATATGCTGCTACTACCCTTAATTCTATTGCACAATGATCATTTTCGTAAATCGCCTGCACTGATAGCTTAATTACTTATACACCAGTCATGTATTTTATTGAGTTATCTGAGTATTTCTCTTGCACTATCCTATTGTATACTACTGTACACTATTTTTACTGTATATATCATATATTTTATTTCTGTTTCACCTGTTTCTTTGTCTCTCCTACTGCTTTGAGCATGTACATGACACAACAATTTCCCTCGGGATGAATAATGTTGTTCTTATCTTATCTCATATTTTTGAGGGCTGAAGCTAAGGATGAAATAAAAAAAATGATACTCATGAAATATATGTTTTCTATAAGATGTTTTGATTAAAAAAATTTGTGCACAAGGAGTAGAAACGATAGAAAATTAAAGGATTATATGAGGGTTAGACTATGTTACAAACAGGATGGCTGGGAAATTTCTACAGCTGAATGATGAGTTGTCGACATCTCTAAGAAAGACTGGAGAGATATTTCAGCTGTTAGATGAAGGTGTTAAAAAGACAAACACACAGCAAGGGGATAGCTTTTGCTTTTGGTTCTACAAACGGGTGCTAGGGGGAGCGAAAAGCAAGTCTAAACTGCCTACTCTCCCTTTAAACCCAAAGAGAATTTTTGGAATTCACTGACGAAGGTTTTGCACAGTGGTTGAAGTATCCCTTTGTCAATACAAGATTGTAGTGAGAAATTAAACATTAGACGAAACTACATCTTAAGTTAATGCAGGAAGTTATCAAAGCAATGCCACAGCGAACGTGTTTCATAATACGAACTAAAGGCAGCCAAATTAATTTTTATTTTCTTTTTGACAAGACTGTGTATTGGATGGATGGTGCATCTATTGCAGCCGTAGACACACAAACTGTTAAAATACTTCTTTCTGCCAAAAACACCTTTGAAACTGGCCCCTTTGTTGGTAAACTGTTTGTATAGCGAGCCCCCCCAAGTCGTTTTACATCGCATTCATCCACCCATTTACACGCTGGTGGTGAGGAGTCACTTTGACAGACGTGAGGCTGCCACCCGTCCCTCCTACCACAGCCAACAGGCAAGGTGGATCAAGTCTCTTTCCCAAGGACACAACAGTAGCATTCTGCACCGGGAGCCGGGACCGATCCCACAACCCTCCGATTGCTGGACAGCCCGCTCTACCTCCTGAGCTACTGCTGCCATTGTTCATGTGGTATTAGCATTTTAGAGGCCAAACTAACCCTAAAAACACATTCAATTTATAACTGACTAAATCTCATGGCCCACACAATCCAGTTCTGTCGCTTTTGTTACTCGTGTACATTTAGTTAGAAGCAGTGCTGCAAGTGGGCCGATACAGAGTGGTACTCATTAGAATCGGTCCCATTGAGAGGTCTGGACAGGTGTGAGCAGGTTGGGATAATGGGTCAAACAACCAATCCAGAACTCGCCACACATGGACCCCCTTCAGTTGTAGCTCTACAGGCTATGCCTTTATTTTAGCATGGTTTGGTTGGTTTCAGAAGTACAAACATTCCTCATCATTGGGGCGACGGTGGCACAGGAGTTAAGTGCTCGCCCCGCAATCGGAAGGTTGCAGGTTCGAGCCCCACTCAGTCTGTCGCTGTTGTTGTGTCCTTGGGCAAGACACTTAACCCACGTTGCCTGCTGGTGGTGGTCGGAGGGACCGGTGGCGCCAGTGCTCGGCAGCCTCGCCTCTGTCAGTGCGCCCCAGGTTAGCTGTGGCTACATAGTAGCTCATCCCCACCAGTGTGTGAATGATTGTGTTGTAAAGCGCCTTGGGGGTTCCAGGACTCTAGAAGGCGCTATATCAAATACAGGCCATTTACCATCATCGGCAATAGCCACAAACAGGATAGTACACATTTAGGTTTAACCCCACCTGCCAAGTCCAATTGGCAATCAAAATGCTGTCCTGAAATAATCAACCCGCTCCGACCTACACAATGGCACCAAAGCAAGGTATAGTCTCAGTCAGTCAGCCTTTTTCCAGCCTTCAGTGCCCTCTGCTGATCTCTCCACAGGTTACAGCTAATGTAGCACATATGTTCATATAAATTTGGAAGTGACTTGTTGCAACACTTGCTGTACGCTCAAGTGTATGTAAGCTTTGCATACGTGTCAAGGATCATCCCTTTTGACACATGGAAACGCAGAGAAAATTGTCACAACCGTGGCCCAATGGCACATAATAGGCTCATGTGGGTTTGATTAAAAACTGGTTATTTTTCTCTTCCATGAGTCAAAATGAATGGATTTTACATATTTTGACTACAGTATTTTACAAGTTACTTTCTCCTATTGGAAACCCACAAGGAGAAGTTTAGTGCAGGGAAAAATAAAGGATCCTCTTACAACACAGACTTATCCGACTTAGATCTACACGTTCTGGCCTTTGAAATGCTTGGATTACTGCCACTTAAATATCAAAACAATAACCTGTCTAAAGAAAAAAATAATATACTACTTGTTGCATTAATAATGATTTATTTCTTTAACAAAGTCAGCATTAGCAGTGAACTAAACATTCTTCACACCACTTTTTTGCCCCAGCAGATCATGACATAACATTTACATTGTGGATCAGTCAAATACAAACTTATCAAAACCAAAAGTGTAAAAGGATGTTTCGGGGACAAGAATAAGAAGAGTTCATTTGGATTGTCTTGCACAAAGCAGCTTGTCCCATTGGTGTGTTTCATGTGGAGTTCCATTTTCTCATTTCACCTGGAAAAGGTATAAAAATGAAAGATTTTCTTATAACAAAGATTTAATATTAAAACACAAATGTTTACTTACTGAGACAAATTTGTGTTCAAGCAAAAGGATTTCCAAAAACATCCCCAAAAGCATCTGTTGAGCCTGAAGTCTGGCCTGCAGAATTACTCTGCTGTAACACACAAAAAGTTAAAAAATAAATAAAATCTTTTTCCATAAAGAATCACAACAAAATGAGTCCATGAATACATTGTTACCATAGCTACAGGTGGTGCACCAAACGGGTTTGTCTCTGGGGTCCCAAATGCTTGGTCAAACATGTCCTGTCCCTGTGACGGGGCTGAACTCTTGGAGTTTGGAGCAGAAGAGAAGGCAGCATCAAGGTCAGGGGCAAAACATGGAGCTGGGGCAGCAACTGGAGCAGGAGTCAATGTCGAAAATGGCTTTGGAGCGTCTTAAAGACATGAGAAATTGTTACAGATTTCCTGGCATTAATCAGGGGTAGTCAAATCTCTTAGGGCTGGTATCCAGCATGTTTTAGCCATTTCCCTGCTCCAGCACAGTTGATTTAGCTGTTCAGTGGCTTATGGAGTTCTGCACAAGCCTGATAATCACCTTGTGATGAAGCAGCGAAACTGAACATGTCAAATACCAGAAATTAGGAAAGGGAGTCGACTACCCCGAGCGTTGATGCAACATTTACTTTCATATTTTGATCGACAGTCTGAGCTAGTTTACCAGGTGCCGACATCTGATTGATATCGAAGTCGTCGTGGTCTGCTGCATCCTGAGCCAGGCCCACTTTATTGGAGAAGTACTGATCAAACGCTCCTGACTCCTTGTTGCCGTGTGGAGGAGCAGAGCAAGGAGCGACCTCTCCCTTCCTAGCTGGGATAGCAGGGGGTTTGGCGATCTGAAAGTCCTTGAACATGTCCTTTCCGGTTTTTACCCCTTTACCTCCGAGGGGATCCAAAGCTGTAAAGGCGCTGTTCTCTACTCGTGGAGTGACTTCTTTAGCAGGTGGCCTAGGAGGGGGGCGGGATGGGCCATGCTGGTCTCCCATTACTACAAATGGGCCAGGCTGGAAAGGATTGGGTGGAACAGGCTGACCCCATTGGAGCTGGGGTGGAGAATGTGGTGGTGGAGAAAACGGTGGCATCACCTGTTGCCCCCAGGCTGGTGCTTGCATGTGAGCGCCAAAGGCAGGGGGTTGTGGAAAGCCGGGGGTTGTGCCAACCAGAGCAGTCACTCCTGGCATGGGGAACATGGCGGGTGAAGCAGCAGGGGCACCCCACATGCCTGCAGCAGGGACGTTCAGGGCAGCAGGTGGGCCCAACTGAAGGTTCCCTAAATGTGTTGAGGGGGAAATTTTCAGTAAGAGAATGAACCAAAGTCATTTGTATAAAATGACAGATTTGTGTGTTTTACCCAGAGCAGCTATAGAGGAGGGAGTGGGGTTTGTAGGCATGTTGTTGAATAGGTCGCCTGGAGTGGAAGCCTGCTCAGTAGGAGCAGTGAAGAGCTCGGCTCCAAACAGCTCACTTGATGCAGACTGATCACAGAAAAGAAGTCATTTTTCACATTAATGTACACTGAAATATCCTAAAATGGCAACTTTTAACCACAACTGAGCATGCGTGGAAAAAAATCCCCATTTACCCGCATGCCTTGCCACTTACCAAGTGCGTTTACCCCTGAAGCATGAGTGTTAGGAAAAGCATGAGTGGAAATGAGAAGAGTAGCCAAGATACAATAAAGTCAAACAAGAGAAGAACCCCAGTATAAGAGAACAGATCCAACTCCTATAGGACGGCAGAAAAGAAAAGCCTTGGATGGCATCTACACCCAGAACATTCACCACCATACCCTGGTTCTCTGAACAACCCCGTGGGAAAGGAAACGTTTAAAACCAACCCCCCCTCGTCATGCACTACTGTACTGCCGTGTCATTTCACCTTTGCACTCCTTCGACTTCGTCCACATTTCGAGTTCTGAGGAGGCGGGCTTATGACAACCGAGTCGTTGCTATGGGTCGCTGCTGGTTCTGGATAGGTCAGTATGCTGTTTAGGATGGAGGAGGTTTTCATAGAGGAGTCGAGGAATGGGTTTTTGGTTGCGAGTGCTTGCTGACTTTCACTCCCATCCATCATTGTTATTGAGGTGCCCTGAGTTATGCTGCCCCCAAGTGGCCACTGTCCATTACTGAGAGCAAGGATCATGGATTTACTGGACAACTCGTTTTTCTGTTGAAGATTTTCAGAGTCTCTATTCAAATGATTAAAAACTGGTTTGTTTGTGCCGTCAGCAGTGCTGTTAGGTAGGTCATTAGTGGTGAGGGAGTCATCAGGTACAAAACTAGTGGGGGATTTAGAAAGGGGATCGTCTCTGAAGGGGTCGCCATCTGGAGCTGGGAAGTAGCCGAAAGTGGATGAAAAGGAAATGTCTTTATGGAGGGCTGCCTTATAGTCTGGGTCACAGGAAGAGAGAAAGAAGCTATCCTTTATGCAATTTTGATTGCTGTCAACTTCCACAGAGAAGTCCAACAATAGAACTTCGTTAGAATCCTGGTTCACATGAGAGGGACAGTCAGACAAAAGAAAAAACAAACAAACAAACATTTGTAAATCAGTTCTGCAGAAAGACAAACAGGAGTTAACAGAATGAACAACGAATCACATGAGGAGGATGTAGCTTTTTAAAGCTGCTACCAGAAGAATAAACAAAATATTCAGACCTCATCTTCCAGTTCTGACCTTTTTAAAAAGGTAGATTAAATGGGCTCTATTCAGAGAGCCACTAAATTCTACTTGTAGCAGCTTCAAGATTAGATTAACATGAGGCAACAACTCAATTCTTAAAAATATCTTTACATTTCTGCTGACTTAAACAGCGCTTTAAGAATCGAGTTCACGTATTGCACAGAATCACCTTAAAAGCATTGCGTTCATTAGGTTGGATCAATTGTTACAAAAGAAAATCTGGTTTTAAAAGAAACATTCGGGGGGGGGGGGGGGGGGGGTGAAGCCATTAGCCTGCAAAAGTTTACTGATGTTGACAATGTTTTAGAAAATATGCAATGAGAAAGTAGGGATTTGGAAATCTAATAGAAGTACAACTCTAACATTTGTCATAGATAAGACCGTGGAATGCTCGACTTACATTTGGAACCTGGATGTCTGGAGGAGTCGTGATGTCTCCAAAAAGGTCATGCTGCTCCACTGGCTGGAGGAAAGGATAATCCAAAACCGGTTATCACCTTTTTTATTTTAAAAAGGCACATTTGTATCAAGTTATTACATTCCTACCTGGGCAGGTTTTCCATCATTGGCCTTCCCATTCTAATAAAAGCAGAAACAGTTCTTTCACACACATTATTCCAGGTACAACTGTTTTCTCTACATTCACAAGAAAGTCACATTGGACTTCATTTGCTACCATTAACATAAAATACATTCTGTAAAGATGCAAAAAGATGGCAGCAAATGATGGTGAAATTTAAATGTTGAAAATGTTTCAAACACTTTTTTCCTCATTTTATACAAGTCTTCAAACAAGTTGCTAATTTAAATTGTAACGTTTTTGCATAAAAGTTCAAACATGCCAACTTTGACTTACAAGATGCAAACAGGATACACTAGAACTGCATTAATCACGTTGTTTATTTTTACTATAAACTCAAGTTTTCCCCTCATAGCCAGGTCTGGAAAGTACAACGTTCATACTTGTGCAGATATGTCACAAAGCCCGATTTTTTTTTTTGTTTTTGCTGCATGCTTTCCTTCACGCATTATTAGTGTCGCTTTTAGCTAGCTTCAAATTTACCTTTTTTTTTTTGCATAGTACTTTTACTTGGTCTCTGCCTGCCATCTTTGACATGTATTTTTCTGCTTTGCTTTTAATGCGTTTTAGCCAATTCTTTAGTTTTATGCCGTTTCTGTTGTGTTTTGTACAGCACTTTGGTTAGCTGCCATGCTGTTTTTTATCTGTGCTTTATAAATTGGTATGGAATGGTATTTTGTGTCGATTTTCCACCCAAGTAACTTTAAAGTGCTTACCTCAACTACTGCAGTGCCATTTTCACCCTGTAAACACAGTTACGCCGTCAATGATTATGCAGGTTTTCCTGAGTTGTACCAACTAGTGAAACATTCCAGAGGAATGTCTGGAGGATGAGAGTCACTGAGAGAACACAATAAGGCAGTGTTGACTCTCAGCCCTCCCACTTGAACATGCAAAGTGACCCCTCCTCCCTCCATAAGAGAAAATAAAGTCCCAGTCTACCATAAGATGAAAGTGATTGGTTTAAACTGTCACCGTCTGTGAGGACTCGGCTTCTTTCTTCCTCACGTTGAAGATGACTTGGAAAAGATCTTTCAGGTCAATGACAAGTGGCTCGGCCTGTTTAGAACAAAAGCGGTCATTGTTCACCGTTATGTATTTGCTTTACATGTATGTGTGTGTGTGTGTGTGTACCTGTTGTGCAGTTTTAATGGCAAAGAACTGATGCTGTCCTTCTGCTCCACACACATATCCAAATGCCCTGTTGTCCGTTACATCTCTGGCAATAAAGGAGATTTTGCTGACCGGATGCTCGTGCTCAATTACCTGAAGGCAGAGAATATTTTAAAAAGGCGCTGAAGTTTCACTTTATTACCTTTAATTTGCAGTTGGTGATGTCAAAACGCACTCCTGATTTCTCATCGATGATCTTAATACCCGACATGGAAATGATGACCCAGATTCTCTGTTTGTGCTTGCCTTGAGACCGAGCAGCTACCGCCATACCCTGCAGGAAGAAAATCACAATGCTACTCAACTGCAGCAAAACATGCAGGTCTATGCCAACAGGTACATGATGTACGAAATAGCTTTAATGTACCTTCAGTTTCATCATGGAGTCCTGGCACATTTTGTCTCCGCGAGCCTCCCGGACATCGTCGATGCCGATCAGCTTTGCTTTGTACCTCACTCCATCTCCTTGAAACCTTCCCAGCAGGTACTCATCTGTCTTCTCAGGCGCTACAATAGAAATGTTTGAGTCACTATTTAACATCCATTTCACAGGTTTAAAGATTGGTACACATTCCATGAGTATCTGGTGCAATTACTACAAGTTGTGTTTAACTTCTAATAAAAAACATGGTTTTGGGAAGTTCTTTGGAATTGTTCGTATCCATGCTATGAGCGTTTAAGTATTTTGCAGAGTTACAAATCCAACAGGAAGCACTGCTCGTCCATTTTGTGGTTTAGCCTCTCCCTCCTCCCCAACCTCCCATTTCCTCACCTCATTACAGACATTTAGTTAATTGCCCACCAACTGGCCTGTTTTGACATTTTCCACAACAAACAGATTTTTTGTACTCCGTAAATTCTGACCAATAAGCAGCCTGGGGTTTTCAAGAGGAGGGTTTGAAGATAAAGATGTGCTGCAGCGCTCTTCAGATACTATTTTGAAGCATCCTAGTTGCTGTGTTAATTTTCCATTTGAAAAAATAGCCGAAGGTTATTTTACAGATTGTTTGCAAAGCAGCCACCAAAAGACAGGTATTGATGTTTTTGCCCACCCGATCAACCAGATGGATTTTAAAAGCCGCCAAGGATAACCAAGTAAAACCAAATCAAGATGGGTGCCACAGCCACGCAACATAAGCAAACAAACATGACGACTGAATTCCACAGACAGATCTATATTTGATGTTGGTAGCAGAGCGTTTCATAGCACGTACTCTAAAGGGCAAGCGCTTCATGTAAAATGTTGCCCAATTAAAAGAATTTAACCAGAATAGCTACAACAGTTCCAACATGGGAGTTTCAAACTCACAAAATGCAAAAATACATTGAAAAGAAAAAGATATACTAGAAAGTGATTGTCAAATGCATTGGCTGTGTTTGGACCATGAATTCTACCACCTAGAACGGTGTTACCACGAGGACTACCAGAGCTCCTGAAGCATTTCAGACTCTTACAGCTACGTGTTACACAAACAGAATCCCAAATATTCACTTCCAGCCAAAGAAAGTGCACAAAAAACACTAGCAATAAACCAAAGCAGATTGGGTACTTTACTGTCAGAAAAGGTTATTTTTCTTAAAGTGGGCAAACACTTTAATTTAATACGGTCGTTGTGGTCTCTAGCACGAATTAATGCCTTGCGAGTTCCTCTCAGGAAAAATACCCCAGCATTCCCGTTTCAGGAAGTAGAAGTTAGCCAGAGGAGATGGTTGGCAGGAAACTGCTGGATTTGAAGTCTTGCTCATTGTTATTCACAATACTGGAACAGCTCACCTCTGATTGGCTAACAGCAAAACAACTCTTGCACTAACTTTGTTTGCTCTTCAATGTTGACGTTTTATCTTCTACAACAACAAACCTAAAGAAGTTCTGCTAATGCTAATGGTTAGCGTTATGGTTACTAGCAAAGATGTGCTCTGCTCTCTCCTGGATGCTAAACCAACAGGCTACCCCCAGTTGAGACAACAAGCAGTGTGGCTTTTTCTGACCCAAGCCTTTTCTCATCCATTTTCTTTCAGTGGCTGATGCAGGCAACAGGAGTAGAAGACTGTTTACATGTTCAGCATGTCACCACATGCTTGCTTAGTACGAGGATTGCTGTAAAGTCACTGACACTAGTAAATGACTTGATGCGATTAGCTGGGCTCCTTATAGAGGAAACTTTTTTTCTGATTGGCTTAATGAACTGACCTGGATTGAAATGTTTACTATGTGAAGTGCCTTGAGACTTGGCGCTATATAAATAAAGTGGAACTGAAATGTGAACGTTAGCATGATTAGCGTGACCAATCACATTTCCAAGAGAAGAAATGGGCCTATTCCACGTTCTCAGTGGGCCTCACATTTAAAGAAATAGCTCTGCCACTTAGGTGCAGTTCAGAGGAAAACATGTTTAAAGTTGCAGACTGCTTTCCCCCTTTTGGGAAAAAACTAAAAGATGCAACAGGTGGGCAAGCTAATGATTAGTCACAATGGATTCATGGACAGAGTCAATTGCTGTATTTTTTTTAAAATAAAACTGTCAATTCAGAATACAAAAAAAATGCCTTTTAAAACTACATCACCATTTCACATTTATTTAATAAAAGATTTTTTCCAAAAGTGTTGCCAATATATTGAACTGCTACATGTACGTAGCTCTGCTGCAAATGCTCTTTAGAATAATTTTACGAAATATTTCCAGCAGTGCAAATGTTTGTAAAATAAATCAATAAAACTGCATTTAAATGAAATTCTGACAAATTTGTGCCACTAAAAACACTGGGAAACAGGAAGTAAACTCAGACGCCTAAAACCAATACCAGTCAATAGCTGTATTTTTCTTCAATAAAATGTAAATAGATTTTAAAGAACTTTTCCATTTAAAAAAAACTACGCTAGAGTGCTTTACAGTAGAATTGTGCATTTATTTATTTTTTTTTACAAAGAAAATGTGCAAATTTATGTACGGAAACTTTACATAAACAGTGGCTTTATTTATTTATTTATTTTTACAGTGTACGGTGCAATGTTTGAGGCTGCAGTAGTTAAACGTTCTGATAAACTATTTTACTCTATAGATGGAAAACTTCAATTCTGAGCATAAGAAATTTAAATATTTCAGATAAACAGTAAAGGACTCTTAATAGCATTTGAGTTTTCCCACTTCATCTCAAATTTATATTTTTATGTTACTTTGGAGAATCACAAACCTGCAGAAGTGACTCAAGAGCAAACCTAAAAATCAAACATTCATCGACCAATTAAGGAAACCTCCAGCTCATCGTGTTGTGCACCGCTCACCTTTCTTTTTTTCTTTCTTGAGCGAAGTCTTGGTTGCAGCTGACGCAGGGGAGCTGGGTGGGGTGTTGGTGCTTGGGGCTGTAGGTGGGGTGTTGGGATCAGCAGAGACTGGTACGCTGTTTTCCACTGCTGCAGACATGATGTGTGTGTGTGTGTATGTGTGTGTGTGTGTGTGTGTTGGGAGGGAGGGGAGGGTCAACCTCACTGGACAAGTGGCAATCTGAGGTAATGCAGACAGCAACTTTGAGATCTTGGGTAGTGATGTCGAGCGACGATCTGATGATTCTTCAACACCCACACATGCTTCTCTTGTCTGGAGCACAAAAAGGGAAGAAGACAGAATGGCTTCAGTGAAAGAAAATATATAGATAGGAGTTATGGCAGGAGTTATGGCACCAGGTAAACATGCTGAAGGACAATTAAATTCCCTCACTGCCAGACCAACTGCAGAAACACCAATAAGGAGAGGAATGAGATGCACGATCAATAAAAAAATCTCACTCATGAGATGCTCTTAAATCTGCCTTTAATTTTAAACAGGATTTGAGCTTTTTTTATGTGAAAATTTGATTTGAATGGTAGTCTTATTACAATCTGAAAATCCTGCAGAGCTTTAAAACATTTTTGTGACTTTCTCAGAAAGGAGAAACAAATCCTGTAAATCATCCAGCCAACGCATGTGACTCATCAGGTAATAAAACTTTCAGCTGAATCAGAGGACTAGCAGCCTCTCTTCACGGCCTTGACCGAATACTTCCATTTATCAGCTAAAAAGTGGAGTTGGCAGCAAAACAGGCAAACAAAAAAGTACTTAGAGAGCAGTTATAATAAAAAGCATTATTCAGACCTTTAATTAGTCAAAAAGCCACTATAAAGGTGAACAATCACTCATTCAGCTAAATGGAAAATAGAAAAAAAGCCATAAAGCTCTTCTGGCCTGCACAAGCACTGGAAAACCACCAACACAGACCCTGCTCAGCTTGACGTACCTTTAGAAGCAGCTCCAGAGGTAACACTGCTTCAGAGAACCAGAGAAAAAAGCCCGACTACTGCAGTGAAGACCACCCGACTACTGCAGTGAAGACCAAAGTCCAGAAATGGGCAAAGGTTGAGCACTTAAAAGGTTAATCTTACGCCAACAGAGGAAACAGATCTCGTGATGCCCAGCTAGGCAAGTGCAAAAGAGTTTCACTGGGTCTGTTTCAGGATATAAACATTTCAGTAAAAGAAGGAAATCCTACATTTCTAATACTAGAGGATGCAAAAAACACAATCAAGCTAAAAAGTTGGATCCAGAGGAAACCAGAGTGACAGAATTAGAACTCCAGCGCACTTGCAGGTTAGAGAGTTCATTTCAGCTTTGTGACCAACAAGGTCACTACTAACACCAGATCATACAGAAAATAATCCCAACTCCTCTCGTTGGCTTTTAGATTAGATTTTCAAAAAGGAAGTCCTTTTCTTGCGCGGGGTTAAAAACCATTGCCTAAACAGTCTCCAGTGGGACATGTGGGTGGCTAAATGGTTTATTAAAACCTGCTTAATTAAGAGGTTTGGAAAAGGGAGAGTCCCGTTTAACATTTCATTTTATTCAAATTCAAGCAATTTTTAACTTAAGGAGTTAGAAACTCCTGAATAAAATCCTGAATTTAACTGTCCCTCATAAAGGTTTGGAAGTCAGTGTTGGTAGAATAATCTGTGATGTAAAAATCACTGCATGCTGATTGTGTCGTCAGGCCCCTAAAAAGACAAACTTTAGCACTTGTTAAATTGCACAAGCCTGACACATGATTGTTCCTGTCCATCACCCAGAGCCGCTAATAAAACCACTAATGTCAGCACTTCCCTGCAGACCCGAGTTAAACGGTTACGCTTTAACAAGCACCTCGGAGAGAAGGCAATGGCTTTTATTAGAATGAAAGAGGAGAAACTGGAGCTTTTAACAGCAACCATTAGTGTCACCACACCAGAAACTGTTGAATTCATGTTCGTCAGCAGAACAGACAGCAGTGCAAGGGCTGAAATGTCACAATCCTGGGCCTCAGGAAATGTAAACTGCTGCACATCTGGAGGAAATAAGGAGAGTGAGTCAGTCTGCCAGTGAATGAGATGGTGAAATACCACAAAGGGCAGAAAAAACACTTTACAAACTTAGAAAAGATTTAAAACATCAAAGTCCAAAAACTTTAGTGAGCTTTGGAGGCAAAAGAGGCATCAGAAAAATAAAGAATTTGTTGTTTTTCCAACATGAAATTCACTTCCACACTTGTTAAGCTGGTTCAACTGAAATGCCAAAAGCAACTTTTAATTTACCTCCAGAGTTGAGACTGCTCCCAAGTTTTAAAGCACTGATAGAAAACAGGGGGAAACAGCCTACCTGTTTAAAAAAGCTCCAGATGGGACGCTGAAGATGTTTGTTGCGGTGAAGCCTCCACGATCCTGCTGCTGAATCAGTCTAACCTACTTCAGCCTTGGAAAAAGAAAAAGAAAAAAAAAAAGAGCAGCACAAACCCGAGCAGGAGCTAGAGAGGGTTTAGTGCTAAATACCGAGGGCAGAAAGAAGGGAGGCTGCAGAGAGCTCTGGGTTTAACCCTTCACTCACTCACTGCTATTTCAGCTGGTAGGGGGGCGGGGCTCTGCACATGTGGGTAAATTAGACATCACATGTGTGATGCTTCTATGCTGTCATGAAAAATAACAACATTTTGTATGTTTACCACTCATTAAAGCATTAATTTCTGTTTTTTTTTCTTCATTCTAATGAGACAATAAAAACATTCTAGTGAAATGACCAGATTTAGACACTGCCACAGTGCAGGTCACTTTAAGGTTACAATTTCATTGTTGGCTTGAAAAGCATCATTTTAGCAAAAGGTACACCAAATTTTGGATTTGCAATTATTTTATTATTGAGTTCACAAACTCTGCAGGGTGCAGTCATTAAGGACTGACTGAACAGGTGTGCTCCATTTCTTCAGTATCACCTCATCAAGCAGGTGAACCATCTGGAGTCGGTTTCCAAACACAGTACTTACATTTTACAGTCTGGAAGAAAAAGAAACCTTAGCAGAAACGTCAAAAAGCTTTAAACTAATTTGAAGTGAAATCTCAAAAGAAGAAAAGCACATGTAGGCTCAGAAACATGAGGACTTATGTGACCACGTTTGCAACAAAAAAAAAAGAAAGAAAGAAAGAAAATCCTTTATTTTCTGAGCCAAGAGAGGAACACTTTCCAGGAGGGAGACGTGTTATTATCCACGTCTGCCAAAGAGTCAACAATTCAGAGCAGATGCAGCCTATTCATGATTCAAATGAATGTTTGAGCCTATTTGGTGTATTTCAGTGTGAACATTATTTAAAAATAATATTTTATTCATTACATGTTGCTTTCTGAACAGCCTCAGTTCAGAGAAATGAGGTAAATCAAAAGGACTGATGAGCTAACAGCTAGCTTTAGTGCGGACAAGAACAGCGATTACCGATCTCTTCAAACAGATCCAGTAACATTTGAGTGAAGGTAGGGGCTGGAGCTCTCAGTTCAATGAAAACAATTTACTACGTACAAATACTGAAAAAAAGTTAGTATTTTTTTTCAGTATTTGAACCTATTAAATTGTTTTCATTGAACTGAGTGCTCCAGCCCCTTCCTTCATTCGAATATCATGGATCCTGCTGTGAGCACCGACGCTCAAATGGATGCAGTGCAGAGTGCCGGTTATTAAGTAACATGTCAGTGCAGTCATGAATCGTTTAAAGCTAGAGCTACTCCATAACAGAGTACAGGAAACCAAGATCAACCTGAACCAGAGTAACAAAATCATAACGTGATGAGGGTTTCAAACATTTTATGATCCGAGGGAAATGTCTGCAGGCCTGGTTTGGCATCTTATTTTGATTTTACACTTTCTAATAAGATTTTGCCGAATAAATCTCAGTTCATTAGTTTCTGCTCAGCTGGAGAAAGCTTAAAAGGGACATCGTGGAATCTTACTTCTCCCACACTTCCTGTTAGAAAAATGCACTTAAAGGAGGTGTCGCCTGGCGGACCAAGAGAGCGACACTGAGGCTGTGATTGACAGCACCGGCCTCATGCTCTGCTGTTTCTCAGTCGGAAAGACAAATGGTTAGCAAGCGTGCTTGCACACGCACAGCAGTCTCATCACTCAGAACAACGAGCAAACAGGGAAACCGCAGCAGGCGGGAAAGCTTTCTCTTCACCTTGATCACTAGAAGAAAGGGGGGAGGATGTTTTTATAAGGAGGCAAGTGGTTCTGAGCCGTATCGTTTCATATCGGCTGGTGAGTGGTCGAGACTCGGCTGGAGTCCAGCGCAGTGCAGCCATGCAGGATTATACAGACAACGTAGAGCAATAAAAGGATGTAGAATTTTTCATCTGTTTTCACACTTAATGACATCAGGGGTCATCTTTTCTGGGTTTTCCCCTGCACATAAAAACGATCCATGGGTAAATTATCATAATCTCAGAGACTCTGAGACCTTTGAGGCAATTTCTACATCTAGCTTTTAATTTTAGGAGGTTTCTAGCCTGAATCTACACACTTATTAATTTATTATAACACACTGATATTAAATTACAGCTTGTAGATATATTTAGATTTAATTTGAACTATTTGGGGATAATTTCTGTAAAAGTTGTCTCAAAGTGACTCTACTCTAAAGCGACCCTGAGTTCCTTAAGCCGGGCGTACACTGTGCGACTTTTTCACTTTTTTGAGCCGATTTTCCACTCGTGCGAGAATCCACGAGATCGGGGCGAGTTTTGCGCCGAGCGGTCGTGTAGTGTACAGGGGGTTACGAGAGGCGATTAACACCACGTGACCAGCTACCGATCAGCAGTCGTGAGGTCGCACGGACTTCTGGCGTGTTTAATATTTTGCTCGTCCCTCGTGAGGGTATCGCACTGTTGAAGCGGCGCTGCGAGCAGCTGCGACCCAAAAAGTATCAGAACCGCTCACGGCGCATGCGCAATCATGCATCAATGCCGCTCACCTGCTATTTCCCTAATAACACACGCTGTTCATTTTTGTTTCTACACGTTTTTTTACTCACAAAGATTGTCAAGAAAGCGTGTTTGTCGTGTTCATGTCAAATTAAACTGATCACAAAACACAGATTTATACATAAATCCCTGTGTGTCCTCCTGCAGCACTCCCGAAGGACAACAGGCAAAACAAGACAGAAAAGTCTGACGTGTTGAGTAAAAACTGCTATTTTTAGCAAATTTTTAGGGCCGACGTGTTGCTACCAGACGTACAGTGTGAGCAGTCAGGTCGCATCCGAGAACTGGGTCGTGCAGTGTGAGCACATGGCTCGTGAGATCTCCCCTGCGAGGAAGTCGTACAGTGTGAGCTGAAGCTGAGTGCTACGAGTGAAAAAGTCGCACTGTGTCCGCCCGGCTTAAAGCTGTGTAAACTTCTTAGTTTACACGCTTAGATAACAACGTATTTGCTGTGTTATTTTCTATTTGGGTTTGTGAGCTTCCTAGTTGCCATCAGTTGATTAAACCTGACATTTAATCACAGGAAGGAAATACATTTTTTTGAATAAATAATAAATTAACTTTTTTTATTCTCAGAAACTGTTTTATATGATAAATGAATTTTCACATAAAGCACCTCAAAACAATATTTAGGAATAAACAAACATTATGTTTCCCCCACTGCTGTGGAACTATATGTTTCATTCAGGAGATGAAGAGAAAAAAAAAATATGAGCAATGTTCAAACTGGAACATAGGAAGGCAGAATGTCTTGGTGTTTGCTAAAGCGGACACAGTTCAATCAATCAATCAATCAATCAATCAATCAATCAATCAATCAATCAATCATCAATCAATCAATCAATCAATCAAATTTTATTTGTATAGCACCTTCTACAACATTATCCGAAGCCCAAGGTGCTGAACAACATCATTAAAAGAAAAACATTCCCAATACATGGGCATAAAAGCAGGATAAAAACATAAAATCATAAAATAGCAAGCAAACAGCATTACAGATAAGAGACATTGGAATAAGACCAATCGATAAAAAAACAAATGTCAGACAAAATAAAATCAAGCATCCGGTTTAAAAAGAAGAATAGTTAAAACCATAAAGTTAGGGCAATTCAAGTGACCCTAGCGCTGAAACGCAATCAGATAAAAATGAGTCTTTAAACGCGTCTTAAAGACTTGAAGGGATGGTGCCTGCCTAATGCTCAGTGGCAATTCGTTCCACAGAGTTGGAGCCAAAATAGAAAAAGCACGACAGTTGAGCTGGACAATGGCAAACACTGTCGGTTTACAGCGTAAAATGAAAAACTCAAACACATCCATTTCTGAAGATACATTATTCACACAACGCCATGGAAACGATGAATGAGACAGAACTGATGAGCAAGAAACAGCACCACAGTTACTAATCATTGCTAACACAGCATAATTTTTTAAGTGCAGGCTTGACATTTCCCCTCTCCTGCTGCAATAATCTCACTGCAATCGCTGTTGGCTGAAAGCGCTCATCAGCCTCCCATGAATAACTATCTGTTTTGCTTTTGATGCCAGAGACTGATTCAGTAATTGCAGTTTTTATGTGTGCTGCACTAAGCCAGCGGTAGCCGATGGGTTGTTTCCCACAAGCTACACAGGAAGAGTTTTTTTTTTGTTTCTTGTTTGCAGTCGCAATAACAGATGTTTATTTTGGGGACAATTGAAAAGAAGAGATGGGTCTTTAGTAAGAGCAGAGATCCATGGGACATAAAGACAGAGACATCAGATGAATTCAATAGTAGAAAAGAATATTTGGAGCAAGAATTTGTAACCCAAATACGAAGAGGTCACCGCGGACATCTGCACTGACGTAAGTGGTGAGGTCAGTGCAAGTTTTTTTTATGGTGGATTTCACTTCTGTAAACTTGTGGTTTTTATTTCAATGGTGATCTGTTGCTCAACAATGCTTTAAAAAATGATGTGCAAAATGTATTTTTTGTAAGTTTTGTGCCACCATGTGGGTCTCTACTGCCTTTCTAAACATACTTGAAAGAAAAAGTCCACCTGTTTTCTGTCAGAGTTTGGTTTAGGAATTATGGGTCTAAAATGAGCCGCCTCAAAAAGTCCCCGATTGTGACATCACAAGCTCCAGTTTCTGTAAAAGCGGGGAAGCAGAGGCTGATTTTTTTTTTCAAAAAAACATCATACAGGAAATTTCTGGGAAAATACTAAAACAGGAAGATGACCAAAACAGAATATTTGACAGCTGTGGTTCCGAGGTGTAAGCATGGATCGCCTTAAAGCATTACTGCTT